GTTAAAGGATAAAATATATTTTAGGTTAGAAAATTGAATAAAGGAAATGATAAACAAAACACCTCTTCTTTATTTTTATTTTTTCATCTTCACGTAAACAAAATTATTCTAAAAAAATTTTTTTCTTTTTTATTTCAAAATTAAATAATGTTGCCTTATAAATTTGCCTATTTTATTTCTATGTGAGAGATATAATAATAACATAATAATAAACAAATAATAAACATATAATAATAAACAAAAAATATTATCACAGTCAAATTTCAATTTTATTTACTTCTTTAAAGCATGGTATCCATCAGGGATTGCGCCGATAGAAAACCAAATTCCCGATTTTCGGGAATCGGATCGGCGCGATCTGGTACACATTTTATTGGGGGTATAGACTGTTCTTCCGGTAATTAATTAAATATGTATTTAAAATTGGAGAGTGTATCTAATAGTTATTACTTTTTAGCTTATTTTTCTGGCCAACATTTGGAAGCTTGTGCCTAAATTCGTACTCGTATACGAATCAGGCAAATTTTCCAATTAGCAAGTTTTAAATTTCCAATCTCTAACTCTAAATAATTCCTTATTATTTACTCGTTCCTTCAATTATTTAATTTCTCAAAAATATAAACAAATTCAAATTTTGAGAGTAACTTAAGTACTTTATTTAATCCCTCATCTAAACATCCCCATAACTTGGATAAAATAAGGTTTATATCAAAAAATTATTAAAAAATTCACTCCTCTTTTCTAAAAGATTTATTTGACGTCTTTTAATATTTTTTAAAATAATTTTCTCTTTTAGTTTTTGCCAAAGATTAGCATTTCTTTATTTTAACTGCGCAGCTTTACAAAAATAAAATTCTTAATATTTTATTTGAATAGTCAACCACCTCTATATAGTGTACATGTAACACCCTTTTAGCTGGTTAGATCAGACTTGGTAATGCCTGCTGATATCCGCTTGTATCCGCCGTACCAAAATTCATGTACATTACCATGTCTGGGTTAGATAACTCGACTTTAGGTGATACAAAAATCCAGGGTTTTCACGATCTCCGGATTATTTTCAATTATTTTTATAAGAGAATGAACCTTGATTCACTTCAATAAGAGATGAGCCTTCACAAACCCGGCACCCATTACTTTGGGAACTCAATCTCGTTTTTCTTGAAAAATTCTGAATTTTTAAACTCCATGTCCCTATCCGCAGCCACCAAATTTTGTTTCCCCAACCCATACCCCGTTCTAAAACAATTTAAAAACGCCCTACCTCGACACACCCACCCCCTAACATTCGGGGATTCTTTCTAACTATATCATCCTATCATTTTTTTATTTTTTTAAATGTTTTTAAATTTTTCCTCTAAAAATTTTTTTTCTCATCATATAATAATAATTATTATTATTATTGTATTGTTCTTCTTTTCCTTTCTTTCTCCTTTTTTTATTTACCCTTTTTACATATTTATTATTTGCCTTTTAGATTGAGGCGTAAATAACAAAAAATATAAAATAAGCAGTTGGCAAGACTTTAAAAAATGAAAAATAGCTTTAAAGGATTTGTTTTTTTGTTTGAATATATTTTTTTATATATTTTATTTGAGGGCAAAAACCAAAAAAAATAAAAAAGGGTCAGAAAAATCTAAAAGAGGCAAACAATGGGAAAACTAAAAAGTATTGGCATTTTGCACTTTATAGCCTTTTTAAAACAATAAATATTATATTTCCTTTTTTAATTTTTTTATTATACTATTTGTTTTAATGATTTATTTTTTTATCTTGACGTTCAATTCGGTTTCAGTCTAAATTGAATTTAGCCGGCTAAATTCAAGTTATTTCGATTTTTATTGGGCTATAGAATATTATAAGTAATAGAATATTAATACATATGTCCGGAGAACTAGTCGACAAATTTGACACTCCTGCTGACACCCCACTTCTGACACACCACATTGGCTATGGATCCCCTCCTCCCCCTTCATCCACTTCCAGAAAAATTTTTTTCGAGAATCAGAAAAAAATCTGAGAATCATGGGTTTATTTTTTGAACAGATCACTGATACATACGTCTGGATTATCCGTTGCTTTCACTAAACTGCGCGGCTGCTTGAATTTTTTGGCTGCTGATACCCCCCTACCCCCCCCCCCCCCCCAATTGACTATGGCACCCTCCCTCTTCATCCTCTCCCTAATATTTTCTAAAATAACACCTTTCTACATATTTAGTTTGTTAATAATAATAATAGTTTATACATATTATCTAATTTCAATAATTTGCTCATAGTACTTTCATTAAATAGAAGGGAAAAATGCCAAATTTCATTATTTTAATTTCTCTATAATATAGAGAATTTATTTAGATATTTACTAATTTTAATAATTATTTATTCTTCTTCATTTTTCTACAAAAACCATTTTTGCATTTTATCGACAAATATTATTATTGTTTTTATTTTTTTCTTTTATTTTTATGCCACCGAGCTGGTGTGAGTTAAAGAGAAGTGGAATGTAAATAATATATTTTATAAAAAAGAATTTAACCTCACTAATCCCCAGCTATCAATTTTAGCTTTTAAAAAGAAAGAAATTTTTTTAGAAATATAGAAAAGAGAAAAAATATTTAAATTTACTCGTTTTAAAGGAAATAAAGCGTTATAGTATAACGAACCAGAATTGACAAAAGAAAAGGGTCTTTATATCGAGAAGTATGTAAACTCGAGGAGTCATTTTAGGAAGAATTATTAATTTTAGTAAGAACTAAGGCTCGGGAGAAGAAGAAACTCGGGGAGCGGGAGTTAGGTCGGGAGGCCAAAAACACGGGAAATTTCTCCGGGTCGGGATCGGGATACCCGAGCACCACTAATCTCTTACTTCTAAAGTTGGCGAATAGTTAGTAATCTTCGTACGGATCATATCCGAACCAAAAATTTCCGGATGTCCGGCTTTTTTTTGGATTCGGACCCGCCAACCTTACTTTTCACCAATAAAATAAAATTATATCTTTAATTTAAAAATTATTTTACAAAAATTTTTATAATAAATTTCAAATTTATAAATAAAAAAAATAAAATAACGGATGAATGCACAAATTCTTTTCTTTAAAAAATTTAAACAAAAATTGGTTTATACACAACAATAATTACTTAAATAGAAAATATATAATCGTTTAAAGAATTTTTTTATTTTTATTTTGCAAATATTTTTTTGTGTTTTATACTAGATAGAAAAAATAAATTTGTAATAATTGATTCAAAAAAATTATTACAGTTATCAATAGAACCTCTCTCATTAATTTAAAAAATAACACGTCTCCCTCCTCATTATTTTTATTTTGCAAATGCACATTTCGGTTTCTAAATTTTTCTTTATTTTTGAATATTTGATTTTTAAAATTTAAATAATAAAAATAAATCTTTAATTGTTGTAATAAAAAAGAATTATTTATTTATTAAAAAAAGTTATGTAAACACATAAATTGAGGCATATTTTATACCTAAATATTAAATTACCATTTCCGCTTTTCTTGAAAATATTTTTATTTTATTTTAAAATCAAATGTTAATTTTACTAAAAAATCGAATCTCGATTTCATGTTCATCTATTGGGGATGGAAAAAGGTTTAGCTAAAACTGGGATATACTTGGAATATCCTCGATCTCCTCGCCGCCCTTCCCAACATACTATTAAAATTGTACATCGAGTATCCTTAATTTGTTCTGTTATTTATTTAGCCATTATTTTTTCCTTGATTTAGATAAAAAAATTTTAACTATTTTTTATCTGTATTTATTCAATTTATTTTGAATAATTTTAAAAAATTATAAAATAAATAATTTTTGTTTTTTTATTAATTTTACTTCCAGAAATTTATTTTCTTTTTATTATTATTTTACCTACCTATATTTTCTTTATTATTTTAAACGATTTTATTTTTTTATAAAAATATATTTACGTAATTCCTGTTTTTTTTTAAATAATTTTTAATAAATAAATATTTATTTAATAATCCTTAGCCTTTTTTCTCTAATTTTTACTGCCACACACACACTAAAACTGTTCAAATAAATTTTTAAAAATTTTTTATCTTTTCCATTATTGGATAAAAATTTTTATTTTTTAATTAAATTATTTAAAAAAGATTTTTTTAATTATTAAAAAAATTTTTAGATTTTATTTCCTCATTTTTTCAAAGTTAAATTAATTAATCGATTTACTTAATTTACTTGTTAACCGGTACCTCCGATTTTCGGTTAATCTAAATTTTAAAACACGTTATCGGTTTTGAGTTTTAGACAAATACTGCTTTTATTTTGGGGGAATTTAAAAAAATCATTCATTTTTATGAATTTCTGGTTTTTAGTTTTTAGAATTTCATAAAAACGGTTTAATTTTTGGCAAAAATTCAAAAATTTCAGTTTTAAAACCGGTCGTGAATAACCCTAGTTTTAACAACTATCACCCTATACCAAATACCTCTAAATACATTTTATGAAATCTGGTCTTCTTCGATCTCGAGATTTATTTATAAATAAGATCCGACGTTCAAATAATCTTGTTCCTTTTATTTTTGAAAATTCTTCCGGCTCTATATCCTCCGAGTCGTTTGATAAAACTTTAAATATAGCGAGATAAGAAAAATTTTTTAAAGATTTTTAATTTTTTAAAGAAAAAAAAGAAATATTGAATTTTTAATTACAAATTATTTGCTAAATATTACTTAAAATATTTATACATATGAGAATATTCTGTTTATTTTCTAATCCATATTTTATTTTTAATAACAAGTAATTAAATATCCGCTCAGCTTTTGCAAGCACAAATTTAAAAAATTAAACAATAAAAAAATCTTTTAAAATAAATACTAGGGTTGTTAACTACCGTCTATTAACCAATACCCCCGGTTTTCTGTTTTGATTGGTTTTTGACCCGCGGTTTTCGTTTTCGTGGTTCGGTTAACCGACCGTGAACTACCCTAATACATACCTTAAATAATAATTAATTTTTAGTAAAGAAATGGACGAAAATAATTTATTACAAATACACAAAAATAATTATTTAATTACATCGACAACAACCACAACAACTCAATCCCCTTTATTATTTTTATCAGAAGGAGATCAACAACAACAACAACCTTTAGATACTTGGCGTGTTCCTCCCTCACTTTTTGCTGTTTTTGCATTCTTCTATGCAGCTGTATTTTTTGGAGGATTTGTTGGAAATATGTTTGTTGTTGTTGCTATTGCAACACATAAATCTTTGAGGACGGGGACTGATTGGATTTTTGTGGCATCTTTGGCTGTAAATTTTTGATAAATTAAAATAATTTAACTGATAAACCGCATCATTCTAAATACCCCAAATTACTCTATATTTAAGCTACACCTGATTATAAGTAGAGATAGGCTTGGGAGTGTTGTACGAGAATCGAGATTTCGAAAATTTCTCGATCTTGATAACTGAGATTTCTCGATCCGGTCTCTAATTAGGTATAAGATGCAATTCCTTCAGCCTTAAGGAACATACTATCTATCCTAAAATGAGGGTTGACTGTACTGTATTAAATTCTAAAATATTTTTTTGATTTTTATTTTAATTTCAAGTTTGCTGATCTCCTAATTCTTCTCATTTGCCTTCCAAGTACTTTATTAAACAATGTATTGACTGGTAAAAATTTTTAAAAATTCAAAATTTTAATTACCTATACTCTAGAATGGCAACTAGGATCTTTTGGTTGTAAACTATCTGTTTGGCTAAATTCTACAACTTCTTGTGCTTCTATATTTACTCTTGTTGGGGTGACTGGAGAGAGATATTTGGTAAAAAATTAATTACAGTTCTAAGCTCGTTCTTAGTTACTCCCTTAGGATTGAAAAGTCATACCTTATAATGAGGGGTGCCTTAAATAGAGAACAACATTTAGTTAGCCCTTCACCCACAGACCAACTAAATTTTTAAGACCCTTATCTAAAATTAGGTATATCTAGTACGCCAGGCTAACGCATCGCAGAGCTATAACTTCGTTCAAAATAGCCGAATCCGTGACCCTTGGTATGGTTATATGCATCTCGACGAGCTGAATCGAACCATTTCAGGGTGTCTCGGATTCGACCATTTTGTACGAAGTTATAGCTCTGCGGTACGTTGGCCTCGCGGTACGTTGAGGTGTACCCATCTAGTAAATATTGGGTATATCTAAAAATGAGAGCTGTTTTCCTTAAAAATAATTTTAATTTCATAATTTTTAAGGCAATATGTCATCCATTAAAACAATTAAAAATGAAAAGTTCCCATTTACAATTTTATATAGTCGGAATATGGCTATTAAGTGGAGCATTAGCATCTCCTAATTTATGGGTTTATAGAGAAATTCTTTATGATTTACTATCTGGAAGTGAAAGTATTAATTTAAATGAGGGGTTAATTGCTAGATTGTGTGTAGATACTTCTGCAAATTTTTGGTTATTTATTGTTATTAATTTGGTAATTTTGTTTTTTATTTAAAATTAAATAAACTATATTTTTGGGTATAAATTTCTTAAGGCCAGAAGTTCTTTGAAAAAATCCAAAAAAAATTTTAATCTAAGGATTGAATATATCAGAAAGTCAATTCAATCCAATTTCTATTTTCTTGTCGTTTACTCTGGAACCTGGAGGTCAGAGAACCTCCAGGTTCAGAGGTCAGAGAACCTCCAGGTTCAGAGGTCAGAGGACCTCTGGCCTTCAGAAATTAACATTACCAATTCTTATATTTTCATAGCAAATATTTGGATAAAAATTAATTATTTTGGAAACGGCAATAATCACTTAATTATTCCAAAGTATACCCTTATAATTCAAAACCTCACCTTTTCAAGTATCCATTTTATCCTCACTTCTTCCTATCTCATTTAAAAATACCTTAGGGGTGAGTCGGTTTGAGAAAGAGTCCGAGTTTCGGGTAACTCGACTCATCTCTTGTGCATCAATTCCATCTTATTTTTGAATTTTTTGTTAGGAATATTCCAAAATCCCCCCCCCCTCTCCATGGGGGAATAATAACTTTATATATTATCTAAACAATAGGTAGTCTCTCATTCAAGTAGAGTTGGACAAAACGATATTGGTATCGGCCAACCCGAGACCGAGATTGACCGATACTCAAGAACCCGATACCGAGACCGATACCAACATTTTGAGCCGAGACCGATACCGAGAAACGATACTGACCGAGTCTAACAGAAACTTTTATTTTACATCAAAAAATACGTGTAAAAATAATTTATTCATTATTTTCATCATCCAAATCATCAGATAAATACTCTTCATCATCTGGATCCGATCAGGCTTGGCAATGGATATAAATTTTTGTGTCCGTATCCAATTTTCAGCGCTGCAGGCAAAAATTTGAGAATTTTGGAAGGCCATGAAGTCAGCGCGCTCATCTCTGCTTCCGATCATTTTAAATCCCCTTAATTCACTGGTGGGAACAACAGTTGCCAAAAATAGGAAGGCTCTGTAATCAAAATCTTGAAAATCTAACCCGAGGGCTCGGAAAATTCAACATTTCAGCGACGCAGACGAAAATTTATTAAATTTTGGAAGGCCAAGTCACCAAATTTCTTCCTTTTTCAGCGCCGCAGGCGAAAATTTTTTGAATTTTAGAAGAACTTATTCGAAAAAAACACTTTCTATGTTATGGACGGATATCCGAAAAAATTATGGACGAAAACTTGGACAATATTGAGGGTTTTGTTTCTTTGAGTCAGTATCGTTTCTCGCCGAGAAATGGACCGAGAATATCGGTATCGGTTTCGAGACCGAGAATGAAAAAACCGAGACCGATATTGGAAAAAAGCCGAGAATCTCGTTATCGGTCTCGGTATCGGTCTCGTCCTGTCCAACTCTACATTCAAGTGAATAATAAAAATAAATTCTAATTTTACCCAAAATTTTTTCTTCAGTTAATTGCCTTCCTCGTTCCCATCATTATAATCTCATTCTTGTATTTCTGCATTTTTCGAGTTATTTCAAGACACACCGAAAAGCGGCTTGCAGTTGATAATGGTGCTCGAGTTCGTGATGAAAGGGTTAAATTACGTATTGCCCAAATGATGTTTACGGTAAATTTTTTGTTTAAAAAAATTTTCGAAATTTAAAATTAAAAAGGTTATTGTTGTATTTGTTTTATGTTGGACACCTTTGTATGGTCTTTACTGTTATTTTTTTCTGTCAGATGATAAAGATTCTTCATTTTTTCAATTTGCTTCTTCTGTTCTTCGGCCAATATTTCAGGCAATTTTTTTATCTAGATTTTGTCAAACCTTACTATAAACCTCACATTTCTTCAGCCCCTTCTCCCTTACAACTTAGAGGGAAAATGAGAATGGCACTAAAATAGGTGGTATTGCTAACATTAAGCTGACAATATATCAAGGATGGGCCGAGTTACCCAAACTTTGTCCCAAACCCCGATCCAAAATAATTTTGGAACACCTGAAACCTCGCCCGACTTTTTTATTCTCAACTCAGTCCCTCCCTGCTCTATATCCACTAGTTAGTCAAATTTAAAACAGGCATCCTAAATTTAGGTTTATAATTATGTATTAGGTTATCCCTTGCTTAGTGAAGTCCGATTATAACATAATTTTAATTTTTAAATTAAAAATTTCAGTGGCTTTCTTTACTCTCTTCCTCCCTCAATCCCCTCATTTACATCTGTTTTTCTCAAAAATATCGTCGAGCATTTCATCAATTACTTTTACTTCCTTGCCGAAAAAGATATAGAAAAATTCAACGTGCTACAAGAAATACTTTTAGATTGAATAGTTCTGCTGCTTGTTCTGAACGCCCATCGTCTGCGACTCATTTACTTTTACAAAATTCTGCAAAATGTAAAAAAAAGAATTTTTCAAAAATATACAGTCAAACCACGTTTTTAAGTACCTTCAAAATTAGAAAAACCTTATTTAAGATACCGTAAAATCTCTAATATAATGCCACCCTCCAATAGAATGCCACCCTCTAATGGAATGCCACCTTGGAGGGTGAGTAAAAATAGAATGCCATGGCATTCTATTAGAGATTTTACGGTACTTTTTTTAATTTGGTTAGCGATGGTTGGGCGAAGATGCCTAAACAATACCTTTAATTTAAGGTACCCTTAATATAAGGTACTATTTTTTCAACACAAAGGGATATCTAAAAGTGGGGACTGATTGGATATTGAAAGAAAAATAAATTTATTTTTGAATTAACAATTAAAAAAAAATTTTTTTCTTTAAAGCTAACGGCCATTTGCCCCTCTCTAAAGGCCATTCTTATACCTCAGCAACATTAAAACCAAATAATAGATTAGCTAGAGGAAGTTTAGATGTTAATATGTTCACAAATTGTAATAATAATAAACTTGATATTAATTTAAATCAAAGAAGACCGAGTTCTGCCGTTGTTACTTCCGCTAATTTTAGTGATATTTTAATATCTCCGATACAACAACAAAAATGGAGAAGAAAGGAATCAGAACAAATAAATGAAGAAAATAAAAGTGGAAATTGTTCTTCACAAATTCTGGTAAAAATAGATAAAAATATTTGTAGAGATGCATTAAAAATACAATTCTGATTTTGAAAAAAATCAGAATTTTTATTCTCATAATTTTTGGAAAACATCAGAATTCTGATTTTCAAAATTTTTTATTTTTCAGAATTTCTGAAAAAAAATAAATTCTGATTTTCAGAATTTCTGAAAATTCAGAATTTCAGTTTTCAGAATTTCTGAAAATTCAGAATTTCAGTATTCAGAATTTCTGAAAATTCAGAATTTCAGTTTTCAGAATTTCTGAAAATTCAGAATTTCAGTATTCAGAATTTCTGAAAAATCAGAATTTTAATTTTCAGAATTTCTGAAAATTCAGAATTTTAATTTTCAGAATTTCTAAAAAATCAGAATTTTTATTCTCAGAATTTCTGAAGAAAAGATAGAAATCAGAATTTCTTTATAATCAAAACACAATCAGAATTTAATTTGCTTTTTATTAAATCAGAATAATATAATCAGAATTTTCATTTATAGTTGGAAGAGAGTAAGGAAAATAGTGAACTACAGCACATACCAGAATCAAAAAAAGAACCAGAAGAAAATTCTGTTGAAATAAAAATTAAAACTTATGAAAAAGAAATAAATACAAAACAATTAAAATTAACTCAACAAAACGGAAATTTAATTAATTCTGAAAAATCAAAAAAAGAAAATAATGAAGAGGAAATTATTAAACCTGATGTTCGGCAATTGAATACTTTAATTTTTACTTTATAATTTTTATTTTTTTTTGTATATATTTTTTGTATGTAGATATAAATATTAAAATTTTATTTATAGTTAAAAAAAATAATTTTGATTATTCCCTCATTATAAGCTATGGGGAGTATATGGGAGTATATATTAATGGGAGAATAGCTATGGAGATGAACACTAAGGAGTGTCTAAAATCTGATTATATTTTAAAGAATTTTCTTTTGACTGTACTATAGTTTAACGGATGATGTTCGAAACACAAAATTCGATGAGCCGAGTCGAACGGTTAATACTTTTTATTCATGAATTATTTCTGAAAATATTATGACAAAATTGATTTTCTGAAGAAATGTACTATTTTCTACGTGGAATTAAAAAATAGGAAATTACAAATAAAAAAATTAAAAAATATGTATTTTTAAATAAATAAAAATAAACATACTATTTATTACATAATTTTACGATTAAATGTTAAGAAAAGGAGAGAGAATACGGACTACAATACATAGTAGTTTGGTGTTTTTTTCAATTCCAACAACAATTTTTATAAAAATATTATAAAAAACTTAAATATAGAAAAGTGAAGAATTAAAAATAAATATGAAAGTATCGATATAATGAATTTTAAAATAAATATGAATAATAAATTAAGATTCCATTAATCTTTTTTGTTTCATTAATCCAATCTACTTGATGAGTTCTTTCGAATGATTAAATAACTCACTTAAGCAAAAAATACAAGGCTAATCTAAAAAAACCTTTGAAGAGCTTGGAAAGGCTTGATAACCTTTGAAAAGCTTGATAATAAATAATTCTCCTTTAATTGTTTATTATCATGTCGATAAATAATCACTACATGTATGTGTTCAAAAATCCAACACACAAATTTATATTATAATTTTTATTATTTATTTTTTAATAAAGAAGTAAGAGGCTTTAAAAGCAATAAATGACAACATCAAAATTAATACTTTTGAATATTCTTTATTTTTATTTAAAAATACCAAAAAATATATATTTAATTTAATCTTATAAATGTATTTACTAATTAATTTATTATTTATTTTAATTAAATTAATTAATTCCCAAGATTTATTTACATCTTCTGCAGAATTACAGCAATTAGTACATGTAGAAAAAAAAATTCCAAAAATTATAGAAAATTATATTTTATTAGAAAATAAGCGTTTAGATAATTTAAAAAGGTTTTCTAATTACATAGTAGAGTTGTGTTGCATTTAATTAATATTTTAAAAAAATAATAATAAATTTAATAGGGGTAGTTAAAATTTAAATATTCTATATCCTTAATGGGAATACTAATTTTAATTAAATACAGTAATTGTTGTAGAGAATGGGTCTGAATCCCTCAATATCTCCTACAAAATAAAATTAATCTATAAAAAAGTCTGGTCGGATTTTGGTTCGAAAAGGCCCATGTCCCGAGTGGGCTAACTAACCCAAAATCCCGATACAGTTTTGGCCAATACCGATCCCGAGGTCGGTATCGGGATCGGTATCATCATTCAATAATACCGATTTTAGGTCGGAATCCCGATACCGGCCAACTCTAGTTAGGGTAACCCCGATTTCTGGTAGGGAAACTATGGAGATATTCTATAATATTATTTTATAAAGATTGTTCCAAATAATTAATTTATAAATAATTTTCTAGTATAGCAAATAAATATTTAAAAGAAGAAAGTGAATTATTTGAATTAGAACCAAAAAGTGTTTTAAATCCTTTAATTGCTCTTAGAGTAATCAAAAAATTAACAAAATCTTGGAAAGAAATTAAAAAAGAAATTCAATCAGATTTGGCTGAAAATTATTTAAAAAATATTTCAAATCAAAGAGAAACTCGTTTTCCTAATGAGGTGGGCATTTTTTTACTTTTTTAAATTAAAAGAGGTGACTGAGGGGAGAGGTTTAAGAAGTGCTTGGGGATTACTAAACTGCTATAAGAAGAGGTAAAAAAGGAGTACTCTAACTTGGTAGAAAGTAAATCTGTGGTAGGAAAATGTATTTTTGTGGTCGCGTGCCAGTAGTAATGTTAATTAATTACCAGTCCGGTATTAGAGATAGGACCGCAAAAGTACCAAATCGTGCCTAAAACTAATTTTGAGCAGGTTCTTAAAATAGAGGCAAACCAAAAATCGGGAAAAGTGAAAAAAATGAGAGCTGTATGGGAGCTGTAAAACTATTTTTCCTATCGTAACAATATTTTATTTTTTTGTTTAAAAAGGATGATTTAAATGGAGCAATTAAAGGATTACTACGTTTACAAGATACTTATAAATTAAAAACTAATGATTTAGCTAATGGAATTGTTGAGGATATTAATATAAACAAACAAATGGATGGTAAATATTTTTTGATTTTAAATTGTAAAAATATTTAATTAAGCAAAAGATTGTTATGAAATAGGTCTGGCTGCATATAATGAAGAGGTTAAAAGTTATTGCATTTGAAGATCCTAAAATTTTCGCATGCGTCGCTAAATGAGAGATTTCTGAGAGCTGTAATGCCTCCTTGGGTACTAGAACAGAAAAAATTACAAAATTTGGAAATTATAAAGTGAGAGGATTTGTTGAGAGAAAAGCCACCTAATTCCCAATACCCAGCACTGCTTATTGGCCTTCCAAAAAATTTCGCCTACGACGCAAAGATGAGAATCGTTGACAATTATTAAAGCTCTCTCCTACTGATACCAAGCAGGGGTGGCATTGCGTTTTTTGAGATCGTTTCTTGTGCTCCATGATACTAAGCATAATTATTAGTTTGTGGGTTATTTCAACTTGCAGATTATGGATGATAAAATCCATTTATGTCCACACCAGAGAGGGCCACGTCCCTAAACCCCGACAAGAACCCCGGTCAATCAGATAAAATCCAAAGAAATACGCGGTTAATTTAATTAAAAAAAGGATTATTATCACTCAATATTATGGATGGAAGAAGCAAATGAACGTTATTATTTACTCGAAAAAGAATTTAGAGAAATTAACAAATCAGATATTTTAAATATTTTGTCAATTTCTTTATATAAACAAGGAAATTTAAAGAGAGCTTTAATTATTAATGATAAATTAATTGAATTAGGTAATTACTGAAAATTAAATTAAAAATAAATATTTAAAAAAAGATCCTTTATATCCAAATGCAACAAATAATTCAAAATTATATGAACAAGAATTATTGGCTAATGGAGTTGTTGAAGAAGATTTTCGTTTAAATATACCTCCATTAAATAATTATAGATCATTAAACGATTCATACCATCATTTTGTTGATCGTTTGGCTTATGAAGAACTCTGTCGTGAAGAAAATGAAATTGTTTGTTAATTGGAATTAATTAAAACAAATTTTCCTTTAATTTTTAGAATCTAACACAAATATCCAAACTTTATTGTTATTACAAAATGGATCGCCCATTCCTTCGTTTAGCCCCAATTAAAGTTGAAATTATTCGATTCGAACCCTTAGCTGTTATATTTCGTAATGTTGTATTTGATGAAGAAATTGAAATAATGCAGAATATATCATTACCAAAATTATTTATATCTCCGTTTGGAAGAAACAATAGTTCCAAATTTAGAATTAGCAAAGGGTCTTATTTGAAATAATCTAGGTACTTACCTAATTATTTTTAATTTTAAGTGTTGGGATTAATGCAAGAGACCATTCAATTGTGTTACAAATAGCCAAACGTTTGAAATTAATGACTAATTTAAATATGATGTCAGCTGAAGGTTTACAAGTAAAATAATAATTTTTAAAGGTTTAAAAAAAGTTTCATTTTAAAGGTGGCAAATTATGGAATTGGTGGATATGTTGAACCCCATTTTGATTTTCCTACTAAGGTTGGCGGTAACAGTGATGCGTAATTTCAGAATTGCCTTGGTACCATCCTTAATTTTGCGGCGCTGTAAGCTAAAAAAATCACTTTTTAACAGTGCAAACGAAAGTTTTAAGAATTTTGGAGAAGGACCAAAAGCCTATAATTCATCCATTTAAAAAATAAATTTTTAAAAACAGAATTATTGGATGGCTGATGATTTGGAGTAATATCGGAGATACAAGGCGATTATGAATGATATAAGAGGATTTAGAGGGAGGACTTAGAGGGATAAATTTTCCCTATTTTAGTCTTTGGAAAGGGTCACCCCGGATCAAGGGGGTTTAACGAGATAGTGGGGGATTAAGGAGTTTATCATGGAATTTGAAGGGATCATGTAGAGTCTAAGAATTCCATGGGACAAATACTGCCGCCCAATCTACCGCTGACAGTTTTTCCAACAACGGGAGAAAGTTTTTCCAACTATTAAGGATGTTGTTACAATTAGGAATAAATCGGAGAGGTTGTTCCAATGACAGGAGAAGTTGTTTCAACTATAGGATAAGTTGTTCGACCAACGGGGAAGTTGATCCGAGAACTGGGAAATTCTGTTCCAAAAACGTGAAGTTGTTCCAATCAAGGTTTTGACAGAAATGACGAAGTTGCAGGAAATAGAAACTGTCGGAACTTAGAAATTTTTGCAAAATTTAAGAGCTTGGAAATTGGAAGAAAAAACTTCGGAAATCGGAAGTTCCAACAAAGTAAAGGTGTTCCATAAACGGGGGAAGTTGCTTAGCATAGAGGAATGTCGACGGTAATCTGGGAGCGAGGTAGGTTGGGAGGCGGTAGGTTTGGGTGTACCCAAGTTTTTGTAAGTTCAGACGGTCAAGAAGGCAGAATTCCCCATTTTAATGAAAAAAAGATATAAGTAGAAATGTTAAAAAAATATCGAAGGTAATCGAAAATGAAAATTTTTAAAATCGAAATTTTGGTATAACATAAAAATACATATTAGAAATTTTAATAAAAATATATATTTGTTAGGATAAAGAAGGTTCAAATCCATCCATGGATATTGCATATAGAATTGTGACAGTCCTTTTTTATTTAAGTACACCAGAAAAGGGTGGATATACAGTTTTAAATAATGTAAAAACAATTGCTAAATCAACTAAGCATGATGCTCTTTTTTGGTATAATTTGTGGAGAAACGGAGATAGAGATTTAAGAACTATGTTTGGTTTTCTTTAAATAAATATTTATTACTTATTTAGGCATGCATCTTGCCCTGTTTTGCTTGGCGAAAAATGGTTCATGATTTCGTGGATACGCGAAATAGGGCAAGAATTTTTTCGTCCTTGTGGTTTAGATCCATCAATACAAGAACGCTATGTTGGTGATTTGGGAGGCCCAGAACCTAAAAATTATCCAAATTTATCACCATATTGTAAAGAAGGAGTATATTGTGAATGAAAATAATTGTGATATTTATTTATTGTGATATTTTAAAATATTTTAGTTATGAATTTTTATTAATTTTTTATGTTTATTTTTTTGATCTACATCTAGAGGAAGTTTATTTTAGAGAGGTGGGGCTTATTTGGAGGTGTGGGGCTTATTTGGAGGAGGGGGGCTTATTTTAGATTTATCTTCTAATCACTCTTAATCGGCAAATTAAGAGATTAGTAGGGATAACGGGGAAATGTGGGGCCCAGAACGGATCCAAATTCGGATCCAAGATTTGCAGTTAAACTGGATTAGATCCGGCCGGACATTTTCTTAATTAACCCTATCTGAAAAAATTTAATTTTTTAAATAATGCTAATTTAAATTCTTCTGTTAAAAATTTTTCATCTTCTTTTAAATCTTTAAAATTGGGAATTACCTAATGTTGCGGCCAATTTCTATTTTGTATCCGGCAAAATTTAATTGTGAACTCTGTTAAGTAGGTTGAAAAATATAAGCTTAGTCTCTTAATATAAGCCAACTCAGAGTGATCTATTGAAGAAGCTAAGCCCAGTGCTTTATTAGATGATTTACGGTATTTTAAAATATTATTTAAATCAATTGTAATTAAATAACAAACCATTTTTATCAAATATTAATTTTTAAAAAATTTATAAGGTACAACAAACATTATATAAAAAATATTTTATATTTTGAGGTGTTAAAATTAAAAATTTTGAAGGTAATAACAATAAAACTTAATTATATTTTTCGTTTAAAAAAACAAACACTACGTGAGGTTTTTTTAAAATTAATTACAGTCAACTCTCTCTCTCTCTACTGCTCCACACAATTATGCGTCCTCACATATTTTGTGAAATTTTGTAAAATACTAACTGTCTGTTAACTTCTATTTTATGTTGATTTTCAGTCTATCGAGATTTTCCCACTAAATGAGACATGGAATTTCTGTAAAATTTTTCTAATGTTGGGACTAACAAATTTTTTACAGTGAACTATCTTTTATGAAGGTCAAAAATGAAATTAGGTATTCCTTTATAAAATTTAATCCAGAAAAAATCCAGGAAATTTGTATTTATTATGATAATTATCTATTGGTTGGTCTAAAAACACCTTTTAAGTTTAACAGACCAAATGTATTTTAAAAATTCCACAAAATATGGGAGGACGTATAAATTTGTTGAGAGTAGCTAGAAGGGTAGTGCGAAACTTGCGGACCGACTTTTGCGGACCAGGGGTTTATGTTTTTGTTTTTCTATCGTAACTTTGTTCAAGCTTGTACAATCACGATGATTTTGATGTCATTCGACTCAGCTCGTCGAGCTCTTTCAAATGAGCTATGTTTCGAGAAATTCGTCGGGTCCGCAAGTTTTTGTTCGCAAAAGTCGGTCCGCAAGTTTCGGCCAGCCGCTAGAAGCTTTCATTATAAAAAATCTTTTCTTCATTTACATATTTTCACTAAATAAAAATTATTAAATTAATTTTGGTAGATAAAGTTGACTGTTTTTTGATAATAAAAATTATAAAAAATAATAAATATTTACCGATTAATATACCCATAAATTTAAATATTCCCTTGTCAATCTTCATTTAAAGCATTATCAATTGTATTAAAAAATGTATTTAAAATTCCGTCTCCAAAAATATTTTTTGATTTAATTTCTTTTGAAATTTCTTCTGAGCGTTTTAATAAACTTTTTTCTCTGAAAATTTTTTTGATTATTTTTTTATTGAAAAAAATAAAATCTCTGTAAAAGCACAACTTGTATTTTTAAAAAATGCCTAGTTGGTAGAGACGTTCTGTCCGCATTCCAAAAATTTTCCAAGACTCAAGACCAAGATTAGGCCCCAAGACCAAGACCATAAAAAAACTAAGAAGTCTTGGAATCGAGATTCAAGACCAAGAGTCTAGGACGTCTCGTTGGTTCGACGCCTAGCTTTACGTTTCATTAAATATTTAGTTTTTTTGTAAATTCTAATCTGATGATGTATTTAGGACTTATACCAAAAAAGTCCGAATTCCAAAAATCTTACACATCCGCAAAAAAAATTTAAAAACTTAGTCGCTTTCAAAAACCCTCCCTGACCCCCACGGCTATCAATCCTATTTTTTCTAAATTTTTTTGATTTAATTAAAAAATAAATTTACTTAAATATAATATTCAATATATTTCCAAATTCCTTAATTATTTTATCCATTTCTATCCATTTAGCAATACCCAAATATTCCCCAGTAAAAGCATTATATTTTTCTTCAGGCATTTTAGGAAAACAAATTAATGGAATACCAACAAACATGGCCTTTAATTTAAAATTATTTTTGTTAATTTATAAAATTATTTTTAACCTCGTTAAAATTTTTAAATTCACAATCACAAATAAATGCACGCATTCCTGTTTTTCCTTTAGAAAAAATTTTTGTATAATTTTTGGCTAAAAGATACTAAGGACTAGGGTTGCCGTTTTCGAGTCGGGCCCACGTTCGAGTCATCTTTTTTGGGCCTCATTTTTATCGGGCCGACCCGAACGAGTCTTTTTCGAGCCTCGATCTTTCGGACCGGACCGGGGACCGGCAACCCTACTAAGGACTGACACTTTATTTAGGCTCTTTCCCGAAAGTAACGAAAATTTTTTAATGAAAAATATAATTTTTTATTTTGGACATTGCAAAATATTATAGGGTTAGTAGTGATTGGTTTGCTATATTAAAAGCCATTGGGTTTAAAATTAGTTTGTTATGACCAGTCTACCGTATTTGCTAAAATATTTACCCAGGGTAATTATTTTTTAACCTCTCGATGGAGGGGGTAATTAATAGGGAGAGTGTAATTATTTGAGAGAAGGATATTATGCCAGCATTTACGGTATGCTAATGGACTGACACTTTATTTGGGCTCTTTTTCTAGTCGCTGTCCTCCATCCTATCCCCAAATTCCCGAGTCTTCATTATTATTTTTATTGGTAAAGCTGTTGCTTAAATGTTGTCTATTTATAGCTATTATATTAGGAAATCAACAAATATGTATTGCTTTAAAAATTGTTAAAATTGCTCTATTTAGCTATGATTATGTATGTATTAGGAAATGAATTAGGAATAGGTAGTAAATAAAATCAATCCCCCTTCCTTTCCTCTAATTTTTATTTAAAAATTATTTTAAATACCAAAATATTCTTTTTGTAATTTATCAATTTCGGCTTTATCAACTTGATGTAATTTAATATTTTTTAATTTATTTTTTGGAATTAATATTTGATTTTTATCAATCAAAACAATTAATTTACAAAATTTTGGTTTTTTATTGTATTTCAAAAATAAATTTAAAATTTTGTTAATTATTTTTTTATTTAGATAAGAATTGTCAAAATAATTTATTTTCCATAATATAAAACATTCCTTAAAAATATAATTTTTAAATTAAATTAGTTATATATTGGTTAGCCAAAAATAAAATTCGAAAACAATATGAACATGATAATCTGCGCATCCTTTATACGGGCTTTTTTATCCTGAGGGCTTTTTTTATCTTGACTTTTACGTTAGCTCTCGAACATAATTAACTTATCGTTTGTAACGAAGTATGTTACAGCAACGTACAACAATATTATTTTAGTACAAAAGACAGCAACAATCCCCTATAATTTTTCCAAAATATATTTTTTAATTATTGGAATTATTGTAAATAATTTAAATATTTACAATAAAAATTCTAAATTTCTTACCTTTTCAAATAAATTAAACATTTTATTCTTTTTCTTCTCTTTAATTAACCTCTCATTTAATTCCAACCCTCCAATATACACAAATTTTTGTTTATTTTCATTTTCAGGTAATTCCGAATAAATAGCTAATGGATGTTGATTAATTAAAAAATAATTAACATTTTCCAACAATAAACTTAATTTGGGGATATTTTTTAATCCAAATATTTGATAACCTTTCTTTTTTAAATTAAACATTACTGCATCATAATAATATTTAAATAACAAATTATATTCGCATTTAACTATTCTATTATTTAAATTATTAAATTCTTTATTTTTTAAATAATAATTTTGTAATGAATTATTTGAAGGATTTTGTTTAATTAAATAACCATCACCAGGCATTACATTATTATAAGCTTTAAAAATATTTTTTTGAAAATGGAAAAAATATTTTTGGCGATTTTTAGGTGTGTTTTAAATGCCCTTCCGTTAATAGAAGGTTTCCTAGATGTGTGACAAACAAATTTAATACAGATACCCAAGTATCGTATTTGCTAGAATAATTACCCAGGGTAATTATTGTTTCAACATCTCGCTGAAGGGGGTAATTCTCATAATTATCAGGGATCTAACAGATTTTTTTCTGCAAGAACAAACCTAGGAACCGAGCAAAAGAATTCTCATAATATATCAGGCTAAAATAATTACCCGGGGTAATTATTGTTTCAACCTCTCTCTGAAGGGGGTAATTATTTAAGAGTGGGGCATTATTTCGGCATTTACGGTGTATGTAAATAGTGTTGTCGATTCCTAGAAATTCTTCTAATATCCTGACAAACCGAGGAACTGAAAAAAAGAATTCTCAGACTATATCAGGGATCTAACAGATTTTTTAAATTCCCTAAAATTGAACATTTATTTTTATATTTGCTAGATCCCTGATATTTTTTAAGAATTTAATTAATTAATAAAATATCAATTAATTATTTCTTTTCTAATAAATAAAAGCAAATATTTTACCAGGCATTTCTTCATCCAAATTAAATCCAAAAAATTGTAAAAAAGAAATATCAAGGGGTGTTGAGGATATATTTATTATTTTGTTAATATTTAATTGATAAAATAAAGTAAAAGCTCCACCCATTTCACTAAATTCAGAAATTCCCAAATCAAATTTAGTATCTTGTAACCACTCTATAATATCTAAAGGGGTAGAGGATGGATTAATACAAACAGGGACATCTTCAATTGCAGCTAAAATTAAAGGGATTTTTAAATATTATTTTTAAATTAAAAATCTTTATCCAAACTTGAACGAAACAATTTTATTTTTTATTTCAAAAATTTAAAAATTATTTGGCCTATTTTTTAGTTTAAATATGTATTAGTTTACTACAGTGATGCGGAAATTCTAGAATTTCCGGTTCCAAACAGTTCCAGACCTTTGCCGGTTTGATGGTTAAAGTTCCGGAACTAGAACCCCCGCATCACTGGTTCCCTAATAAAGTTTCTCTCTAATAAATACTATTACTCTATTTTTCAAGACATCAAAAATTGTTGTGAAAGGGAAGAGAATTCAGAATTTTATTATTTAAGTAAGGTCTCTGGGTGTTTAAGTCTATGGGTCAAGTCTCTTATATTTAAATAACACCTTTATATATTCCAACAAATTTATTAAAATCATTCTCGCAAAATTTCAAATTTCTTTTTTCATTTTCAGATAAAGTATTTTTATATTCATTAAACTCATTTTCTTCCAAAGTTTGTTTAGGTACATTAATAACAATAAAATCTTCATAAACAACCTTGTTTCCCCAAATTAAAAAATACTTAAAAATACGAATAATTTTAAATTATAATATTTAATTATTTTAATTTACCATCTTGTATTTTGTCGCTAACAATCTTGCCAACATTAACTAAATATTTAAATAATTTTTTTAATTAAAAAAAATTATTTTAAATATACATATTTTAGAATTAAAAAAAGAAGAAAAATTATAAATCAAAATTAAAATATTTTTTTAAATCTACTCGTTAGTCGGGATAATTTTAGAAGAGGGGAGACTAATCTAAGCAGTTTACATTAGAAAGAGTTAAAATGTTTACCTAAATGATTCCACCCCCAAAAGACCTATTGACCCAAAATACCTGCAAATTTTTAAAGCGAACATCGAAGGAGTTAGAAGGATTAAGGAGGATAAATAACACATACCTAGCTAACAACCATAACATATACACATAAATAACACATAACAAGCTCTATTATGATAAGTACCCGGTGTGTATTTTAAAACCAATGGTGCCGTATTTTGAGTATGTATCTGGGTGTAGGTCTTTTGGGTTGACCCCAATTAAATATATTCCCAACTTTTTTTAAAATTCTTTTTAATTTTAATTATATTTAATACTACAAAAAATATTTTTTAAAAACCTACATGATATTCTAAACGATTCAAATTATTATCATCGGATATAAAAATAATTTTTTTACGTCCCTCACTCTGATTTATTTCTTCCTCTTCTTCTAAAATTTCCTCTTCAACTTCTGTTTCATCCTCTTCTATTATTTCCCCTTCTTCTGTTTCTTCCCCATTTAATTCTTCCTCCTCCAATATTTCTTCTACTGCTATTTCCTCACGTTCGGGTTCGCTAAGAAATTCCCTCAAAGTTTTCCTTTTTGCGATTTGTAAATTTTTTGTTTCTTTTATTTTTAATTTGTTAAAACATTCCTTAAATTTGAAAAAATATGTATAACTATAACAAATTTTTTAAACAAATTTTTCCATTATTTTTCACTTATTGGGATTTTTATGGATTTTGGACAACCTTACTTTATGAAAAGTTTGGATTTATTTTAGCCCAAAAATTTTTTGTTAAGGGAATAAATTTTAAGATATATTTTAAATTTATTTATATGTATCGCAAAAACAGGAAAAAATCGGATAGGAAATGATTCTGTCATGATTCTCACTGATACATAACCGATTCTGGACATGAGTCTCTTCGATTTATGACCGCTCAAGCATCCCAACACCGACTGTTATTCATCTTTGGTTTTTTTGTTAGGCATTCGAAGCATTTAGTAAAAATTCCAAAAAGATTGAATTTAACTAAAGATTGGGTAGCCTTAAACTTAATAATAAAATAATAATAAAACAAAAAAAAAACAATAATAAATTAATAATAAAACAACAAAATAATAAAATTTAATTTAATTTTTAAGATTTAATTTAAAAGATATATTTAATTTTTTACCAAAAATCCCTCAACATACACATTTTCGTTAATTAAAGACAGCAAAATAATTTTAATAAAAATTACAAGAATAGGAGACAAAATAAAAATATTTTTAAAAACTAATTTCATTTCATTTTATTCTTCTAAAAATAATTTTGAAACAAAAAATGTTTAAAAACAGAATTTAAATTAATTAGAAAAATTAATTTTTACTACTATTAGACAATAATAATTTAGCTTCTATGTAAATATAAAATTAATATTTTAATTTTTTGTTGTGTTTTGGCAAGCAAATTGCTTTAAAAATAATATATAAAAATGCCCTTTATAAATTCTTTTTCAAATTCTCTTTAAGTGCCGCAACCCTCCATCCCTAAAATCAATTAAAAATAACTTCAAACACTGCCGAAAAAGCGTGATTAACAAAATAAATTCATGTGATTTTTTGACGAGTCAGGATCAAAGGTGGGTGCAAGAGACAATCGAAAAAAAACACACAAACAACAAAACAAAGCAAAACGGAAAACTTCTTACAAGAATTATTATTATCTGAATTCATTAAATTAAACAAATTAAATGTTTCTATTTTTATATTAATCCTTAATTTATAAATGGAGAAGAATATTTCTACAAGAATAATTTTGTATAACAATTATATTTCAATATTTACATACATACTATGTTAAACAATAATAAATGGAAGAAAATAATTTTTATAATGTATAATATTCACAAATTATTTTAAAAAATAATTTTTTAAGAAAAAATAATTATTTTATTCTTATACATTTTTGTTTGTACAACCTTCCTTAAATTAGAATGCAGGAAGAAAAACTTTTCTTTGTCCATCCCAACCCGGATATGGAATTTAAATGTGAGTTGTCCTACGAAAGTTGTTCTACGAAAGTTAATTTTATTTTTTTTTATTTTTTGAATTATCTTTAATTAAAATTTTTTAAAAATATATTATAGTTAATATTTCAAAAATTTATCTTCACCTTTAAATCATTCAAATTTATATCAACTACAACTTTATCGTCCCAGTTTTGGCATTTTTAGCTTTTGTAGGGTCACCGTGATGCTACTAAAATAACAACAAATATAACTAGAAAAGTTTTCTTAATTACCATTATAGCATACAGGTCGTAAAGCATATTTGCTTTTCCAATTCCCTTATCTAGCGACTCGTTGTGCACAAAGAATGGCATATCCAACGATTTGAGAGGAAACACTATTAAACGACAATCTTTTGTTCCATCACTATAGTAAATAAATTATTGAATTAGGCACTAATTTTTATTAATTTTAACTATTTACCTTTTTCTCTATCCAAATGAATAATCAAAATCTTTGGTAGTCGCCAAATAAAGTTTGATGTTGGCACATCATCTACATTGTTCACATTTTTCTGCGCTTAGCTATAATTAATTTGCAGTAAATTTACAGTTAATTTATTAATTTACAGTTAATTTACAGCCTAAGCGTTTTAAATGTTCTAGGTGATTCATCCTTACATAATTAATCCAAGTTCTAGTGTGTCTAGCCAGACATGCCAACAAATCCTTGTTGTCATCAATTGTTACATTTATGTCCAAACTTGTCTGTAAAATGAAAAGTATTTTGGATATATTTCCTTTAGATTCTACCTATCCTCAAAGAGGCGAATTGCGGCGAATACCATCAAATTGATTCACAAGTTTGAGGATAAAACATTCTAAAATTAAATCAATCATCATTTAGAAATCTATCTGAATTTTAAAAATTAAATGTTAACACTCGTCAATTCTCTGACGTTTACTTTATTCGTTGATAAACTTATGGAAACTGATAAAACGATTCAGAGATATTTACTAAATTTTTAAAATTCAGATAGATTTCTAAATGATGATTGATTTAATTTTAGAATGTTTTATCCTCAAACTTGTGAATCAATTTGATGGTATTCGCCGCAATTCGCCTCTTTGAGGATAGGTAGAATCTAAAGGAAATATATCCAAAATACTTTTCATTTTACAGACAAGTTTGGACATAAATGTAACAATTGATGACAACAAGGATTTGTTGGCATGTCTGGCTAGACACACTAGAACTTGGATTAATTATGTAAGGATGAATCACCTAGAACATTTAAAACGCTTAGGCTGTAAATTAACTGTAAATTAATAAATTAACTGTAAATTTACTGCAAATTAATTATAGCTAAGCGCAGAAAAATGTGAACAATGTAGATGATGTGCCAACATCAAACTTTATTTGGCGACTACCAAAGATTTTGATTATTCATTTGGATAGAGAAAAAGGTAAATAGTTAAAATTAATAAAAATTAGTGCCTAATTCAATAATTTATTTACTATAGTGATGGAACAAAAGATTGTCGTTTAATAGTGTTTCCTCTCAAATCGTTGGATATGCCATTCTTTGTGCACAACGAGTCGCTAGATAAGGGAATTGGAAAAGCAAATATGCTTTACGACCTGTATGCTATAATGGTAATTAAGAAAACTTTTCTAGTTATATTTGTTGTTATTTTAGTAGCATCACGGTGACCCTACAAAAGCTAAAAATGCCAAAACTGGGGTTTGGCATCACTTTGATGATAAAATTGTAGTTGATACTAAAAATTTTTTAATTTAAAAGATTTTTTTATCTAAAATATCAGAAATTGTTTTGTTCTTCTTCACCCCTCAAAAATAAAAAATTTTTCTACCAAACCATTTTCCCCGATTTCTTTAAGTCTTTGAGCATAATCTGGATCTGCTTCAGATATCCAAGATTTTTTGTCGTGTTGTTTAACAACATCAATTCTTAACTTTAAAAAGGACAAAATTAAAAAAATAATTTTTATATTTAGTACCTGTTCAATAGACTTTCCCCCATAATCACCTCCTTTACCCTTTAATGGACCCCAAACAAAATTATTGTAAATTGTGTCGTTGCAAATTGGAAATCCCAAATATTGGAGATGCTGAAAAAGAATTCTTTAAATAAAATTTTTTAACATTTAGACTGAATTTAATAGAAATTTTTTCTACTATATCTACCCTTTATTGTTCAAAAAATCATAACTATTATACCTATTTCAAGTTTTTAGACTAAAAATTCTGAAAATTCCTTAATACTACAAATATAAACCTCACCACTCTTATTTAATGTGTTCTTCCCGTCTCAATTTGGCAGCGAATAATTGAAGTCCACAATTCTCCAATTTACTTGTAGAGGCAATTTTGAATTTATATAAACCTTTATTATTTAAAAATAAAAAATAATTAAATAATTATTAATATTTAAAGTTAAAAACTCAAATAATCATTAAAAAATAAAATTAAAATAAATTTATCAACAAAGATAGAATTTTGGGTATTTTTAGAAAATAAATTTGAAGCAAATAAATTTTAGAATATAGCCCTAATATACAGAGAAAAGCCCAGAAAAATAAAATAGTAATTGGGAAAAAAGACAAGTAAATATAATTAAATAATCACTTTTTCTTAGATTTTTTCATTTCTGCTTTTTTATTTGTTCCACTGGTTACTGGAGGATTAATAACACTTTTAATTATCGCATGTCCACTTTGTTTTAAATGAATGTGAAGTTTACTTTTAGAATCAAATTCTTCACCACAAGTGTGACATTCACAGGCAACAGGGCCTGATGGAAGTGTTTTCTTTTGCTAAAAAATAATTAATGAAAATCAAACAGAAAAGTGGACATTTCAAATCTTTATAATTAACAGATTAGAGTTCACCCTGAAAACCTATTGACTTTGAAGACCTACAACTTTTTAAAGGGAATATCTAGAAATTTGGAAGAATTAAGAGGGTTATCGATGGATTTGGTGTGATTGAGGGGATTGGTGTGATTGAAGGGGATAGAGATTCCCCCAGGAGATATTCACAATACCGGACATAAGTTCTAGAATACAAAACTGGGTACTTATCTCCATATACCCCTAATACCTCAATATTCCTACCAAAAGTCTTAACCTTAAAGAGTACCTCAGTTTTTAGTGCCTGTTTAGCAGCTTTCCTTTTTGCTGTTTTTGTCATCTTTTTAGGGATATTATTTTCCTGTTCAGTTAACTCGTCTTCTTTTTGACCTTCCTCCTCTTCATTATTACCAATTTCTTCAATATTTTTATTAGAATTTTCTTCTTCTTCTATATTTATTTTAGGCTCGTTCTTTTCCTTTTTCTTTTTCGTCTTTTTATTTTCTTTTGTCTTTTCTTCAACATTTTCATCATCAGAATGTTGATTTTGAGCACCATCAAAGAGCTTCTGATCTTCCTCACACATGTGAATTTTTAATAATTCGGCCATTTGGCGATGCTTTTTTGAGCGTTGATGGCTTTCCAGAACATTTCTTTAATTAGAAAAAATTAATTGAATAAAAAATTAAAAGATTGGTGGAAAGGTAGAACTTAAGAAACTCAGATCAAAATAAATCAGAAGACGAGGAGTTGTAAACTTTGTTTAAAATACAAGAGCAGAGGTTGCCAGATCGTCGAGTTAAGACACAGCAGTCGACATAGCGGCTTAACTCGAAAAAGATCGTAAAACTCGGCCCAGCTTGGAAAAAATGCATCGAACATTGCATTTTTACCAGAAAAAAAAGGCAAAAATTAACCTTGATTTGAAAGACTTTTCACAAACAATACAATAAAACTGCTCTTCGTCATCTTCATCAGAAAGGTTTTCCTCATCGCTTGCCCCGTCATTTTCATGTTTTTTATTCTCAACAATACCAAAAGCAGCATCCAATTCAGCCTCAATTTGTTCAAGATCCATTAAATGTTCTTTCTGAATTTCCGTGTCGATTTCAAAGTTCTTTAGGCCTCTAAAATAAAAAAGAGTGATCAAATAACTAAAAATATTTATTACTCCAAATTTTTTCTAATAGCTTGTCGTTGCTGTTCTTCAACTTTTTTCATGATAAAAGCATTTCGTTCAGCTTGACGTTGTCTAGCGACTTCGACGCGTTTGTCATGTTTACGAACAAATTCTACTAATCTCTAAAAATAAATTTCTCTTATTTTTACGCTAATATTTAACAAGGACGTATCAAAAAAATTTCAGGGTGGGAACTAAAAATAAATTTTTTGGCTGGGTTTACTTTCTGTTATTGCATGGGAAGAGGTAGTAGTTCTCAAGCCCAACCACCCAGATACGTCCTCACTTCAAAGGAAAAAATTTTTTTATTTTAAAACTAACTTGAACTTCTTCATTTCGTTTTTTCTTGCCTTGTGTCCTTTCCCTTCTGTTTTCCCTTTCCATATAACGAGCAGTATGTCTATCATCAGCATCCCTCAAATTATATTTATCTAACCAAGCAAAGGAACGACGAGTTGAAAAATTTAACCAAAATGCGTAGAATGGGGCGACAACCTGAAAAATGATAATTTTAAAAAATTTTTATTCAAAAAAACAAACAGTTTCATAATCGCTATTTAAAGTGCCAAAGACAGGATAATTTCTATCTTCAGGGTCATCAATATAAGCATACTCTTCTGCAGCCAGTTGATGGAAAAGATCGCGATATACAGAATAAAATTTCTGTAAAAAAGGGAAATATATAGTTCATTAAAAATAAAACTAGTTTATTTGCTTATTTTAACCAGATAAAAATTATAATTAAAAAATCGATAAAGCAAAAAACGTTAAAAATCGAAAACCTCAACACACTCCTCTTCACTTGTAAACATGTGTTGCCAACAAGAAGTGCTCCTGAAAGGCTCGAGTTTAACACCCGTATCAACTTTCTCGTGCTGGGAATCTAAAAATTAAAAATAAAATTACAAAACATTTCAAAACCCCCTACCAACACCAGCATAAATAATATTTTCGCGATGTCTGTCATAAAATGCCCTTTCTTGAGGATCAACAAGTACTTCATAGGCTTGCTAAATTATTCTTAAAATTAAAAGAAATTATAGGAAAAACCTGAATTAAAATAAAATAAGCAGCGCATTCCTCCTCTCTTCCAGGATTTTTATCAGGATGCCAACGCAAAGCAAGTTTTTTAAATGATTTTTTAATTTCATCATCTGTGGCATTTCTTTCGACTTCCAATAATTCATAATAGCAACGAGGCTGTTAAATTTAAAAAATAAAAATAATAAATTGAGTAAATTAAAATACTTTTGGCGGCTCTGTACTAGCACTGGGTTCATCACTTGTAGTAAAAAAGGACTTGGCTTTCTCGTAGAATTGATCCCAGATACCCATTCTTCAAATTATCTTAGAAAATCTTTAATCGTTGTCCAACCTTTCTTCAATAAAGTTTGCGCGGCGGTTAAACGGGAGGGTACAGCCCAAAACAACGCGGGCCAAAACTACGCGACCGAAAAGGGGTACAGCCCAATTAGGCGCGCGGCCATAACGGCGCAAAGCCAAAACTTGCTTCAAGATTCCAGATTTTTACCAAATTTAGTATTAAACGATTCCTCTCATCGAGCTTAAAGGATTGGTTTTAAAATTGATAAGGGCCAGAAATTTTCCTGAAAATTATATGTAGCTTTGTGCCGTTATGGCCGCGCGCCTACTTGGACGTATCCCGACCGAAACAACGCAGGCCAAAACGACGCAAGGCCAAAACTACGCAAAAATATTTACGCAAAACGCAAGCGTTAAACGTTAAAATTTATCTGCAAAAAATACCCAAAATTCAATTTTGTTGATAAATTTATTTTGAATTTATTTTTTAATGATTTTTTATTTTTAGGATAATAAGGTCAAAAAAAATTTTCCGAATTTTCAAAATTGCCTCTACAAGTAAATTGGAGAATTGTGGAGAAACTGAAAGGTTTTTTTAATTTTTTTTAAACTTTAGAATAGTTGTTGTCCTGAGGTATTAGACGCTAAAAAGTGAAATGGGACGAGTATTTTACCTAAATTGGGGGTTTTAAGAGTGTCTGATTTTAAAAATCGGTACTACGTTATCCCCTACGTGTTTTGCGGACATCTTTTAATTTTCCAAATTGTTCGTAGTGGCCAGACTTTCTCCCTTCTTCAATTTGACTCTACCTATTCACCCAGACATAATGTTTTTATATTTAAAAAATTTAATTTTTAGTTTGGATGAACCAGTTAAGAAAAAAGCAAAAAAGATTGATATGAGAATTTTCCCTTATGATGAAATTAAAGTAACAATTAAAAATGGTTTGTATTTACATTAGATTTATTTAAAAAATATCATTTTATGTGTTCGATACCTTCAACCTTATTGGGACTTATTTAATGGATTTGCCAAACAACGCTGGATTGGACGAGAAATTTGTGAAGTTTTCCAAAAAGAATTTATTGGTTATCATCCTCTATATGCTATAGCAGCGATTAGAAAAGGACGTTTATTTATTAATGGAATTCAAATGACTAATCCACAATATAGGATTAGAAATAATGACAAATTTAATCATCTAGTCCACCGGGTTAGTTTAGTTTTTTTTATTTTGAATTGAATGCCCAATTTAAAAATTGGAATTTGGTGAATTTGGCCATTTAAATTTTTTAAAAATTGGGAGCTTACCGCGAGTAAGCTTAAAAAACTTACCGCAGAGCTATAACTTTGTTAAGAATTGTCGAATCCGGGACGCTCTAGAATGGTTCGATTGCCTATACAAGCTGAATCGAACCATACCAGGGCGTCATGGATTCGACAATTTTGAACGAAGTTAAAGCTCTGCGGTACGTTGGGGTGTACCCAAAAAATTCTTTGTCCAAATTCTGCAAGTTTCATTCATAAATTTTTTTCATTAGAGAGTTCTAAATTTCTTTTTAAAAATTTTACTTCACAGGGTTTTTTAGGGATTTCAAAAAAGTTTTGTATAATTAAAATTTTTTTGTAAAATTTTAATTTTGTTTTTATAAAAAAACTTTTATAATCCTAGTGGGGAATATTCTCTTATTTTTTTCAAAAATAATCTTTTAGAAAATAAATATAGAGGATTTGACAAATTTCTCTCTCTTTCTAAAATTTTTAAAAATTATTTTCAGCATGAAAATGAAATTCCAGACCTTCCGATAAAAATTATTGGTAATTTAATCTTTTTAAACAATTTTTTTTTAATTTTACTATATTAAGCTGAAACAGACGATTTTCTTGTTGTCAACAAACCTGCAGGATTGCCAGTCCATCCATGTTTGGATTTTTATTTATTCTTAATTCCCTTTTTTCCTAATTAGGTGGCAACTACCGATTTAATTCAGTGAAAGTTTTATTGGAAAATGAATATGGGAGAGCTGTGAATGAATTGAGAAGTTAATTTTTAATTTTATTTAGGCTTTATTATAAGATACTCCTTTGATTTAAGATTTGTTTCTTTTATTTTTGTTGACCGTTTGGTGGGAAGCTAGGATTATTTAAACGCTGTTTCTATGTAAACTATACCTCCGGCAATCTTGGAGAATTGGGGGCCCTGCGAAAAAAGTTTAAAAATAGGAGAAATTATGTTTCTAGAGTAAAGATTCGTAATCAGCATGTTTTTTAGCCTAGAAAAATTCTTTGTCTTATTTTTAAGATTTTTTCCGCAGGGACCCCAAATCTCCGGGATTGCCATACCTCCATTATGGTATACAAATTTTTTCATCTCAAGGAGTTTATCTTTTGGTGAGATTTAATTAGGATATAATTTAGGAGGTCTATTATTTCCTTTTTTCTTCTTTATATTTAATGGTTTATCCCCACGTTTTTACTTTTGCTTCAAAAAATATTTAAAATTATTTTTAGCATTATATAGACTTGACAGACAAACAACTGGAGTATTAATGTTTGCTAAAAATTATGAAACTGATTTTAAGGTTTTTAAAAGTGATTTCTTTTTTTTAATATTTAGTTTAAAAATGACGTCCTTAAACGAACACTTTCGAAGATTTATTTAGCTAAAGTTGATGGAATCTTTCCAAAGTAATTTTATTTTTTTATATTTTAATTTAAACGGTGAAGCTCACCTTAATAAATTTATTAAAGCTTTATAAGTACTTTATTGACGAATAAATCCTTAAGATTATTTTCTAAATTTAAAAATTTATTTTGAGCTCTGAAATACCTATATAATATTCTTTATTAGTGAAGAAGTTATCTGCGATCAACCAATTTCTATTTTATCAAAAGCAACTGGCATACGCCGTGTTGATCCTGATGGGCAAGATTGTTTAAGTCGATTTAAGTATTTTTATTTATTTTTTATTTTTAACAAATTTTAATTTATCAAAGGTTGCTTTATGCAAATAAACAGGAAAATACTTCAATTGTTCGCTGCCAAATTGAGACGGGAAGAACACACCAAATAAGAGTGGTAAGCTTTATATTTTTAGTATCTAGGGATTTTTTAGAATTTTTAATTCTGAATTTTTAGCATAAGAACCTGAAATAGTTATAATAAATTTACGAAGGATATTTTGATTTTTTCGAATAAAAGGATTGACATAGTAGAAAGAAGTAAGGCCCGTACTTGGTGCCATACGGGAATTGAGATCTCGAAATAATCTCGGTTCTCGATAACCGAGATTTTCGATCAAGTTCTCGTCTCGGTCCGATCTCTAGAAAAAAGTATTATAGTAAGTAAATTAAGATTCAGATCTAACTGTTAAAATATTCTTCTATTTTACAAATACTTTTTCAGCATCTCCAATATTTGGGATTTCCAATTTGCAACGACACAATTTACAATAATTTTGTTTGGGGTCCATTAAAGGGTAAAGGAGGTGAATATGGGGGAAAGTCTATTGAACAGGTATTAAATATAAAAAAAAATTTTTTTTAATTTTTCTCTTTTAAAGTTAAGAATTGATGTTGTTAAACAACACGACAAAAAATCTTGGATATCTGAAGTAGATCCAGATTATGCTCAAAGACTTAAAGAAATTGGGGAAAATGATTTGGTAGAAAAAATTGTTAAAAAGAAAAAGATTTTTTTGGAATTCTAAAATTTTTCTAGAACCTTTTTCGAGGGGAGGGGAACAAAAAAAGCTTTGTCCTTTCCCTTAATTTTTGATAAAAAAATATTTTAATTAAAAAAAAATTAATTTTTAGTATGAGCATGATCAACTAGATTTGTTAAATCTTAAATTTGATGAATTGCCCAGTTATGACCCTATTTGTTGGAATTGTGCAACATATCAAAAAAGGCCTTTTCCTGACGAGTATGTTGGCCTCGAAAATATTTTTTAAAGAAAATTATTTTAATTTTAGTCATTGGTTTATGCCCCTACATTGTTGGAAGTATTCGGGAGATGGGTGGTCATTTGAATCACCCCTCCCAGAATGGGCTATTCAACATTCTGATTTAATTCAAAATAATATACAGGAAAATAAAAAGGAAATACACAAAATAACTGCCTAAATTGTTTTGAACTTTTTAATTTGTTTATTGTATAGGTTTATTAATATTTGTTATTAAAATCTTTTAAATGTGTATTTCTAGTCCTGTAAAATCCTTTCTTGGATTTCTAAAATATTGTATCAGAATTAACAGAAAGAATGACTGAAATAAGACGATTATCCTACATTTTTTGCCAGAAATTTCTGCGTATTTTTTATCGGGCTTTTATACCTTTTCCTTTTGTTTTTCCTTCCCTGGTCTTTTTGGCAATACGGTTGGCGAATCCGCATCAAAGCTGCACGCAAATGAAAAAGATTTTTCGCATCCGCAAAAAAGCGGATATTCGAAATTTTCGTTTCGAATATACAGGACTTCCCTGGATCCGCTAAAGCTATTTGTTATAATTAATAAAATATTTCTGAGGTATATTTAATTTATCAAAAAAAAAGAGAAAAAATAATTGTAGTGACAAAGTGACAAAATAAATGCAAAAATAAAATTAAAACAAAAAAAGGTAATAGCACAAAGTGAGTGGAAAAAAAGAGGGAAAGTGACTTTTTATTTTTAAAATTTTAATCATCAGTCTTTGAAATTTTACAAGCTTGCATTTCATATTCAAAACAAACTTCCAATAATTTCTTTAAAAAATACAAGATTTTTTTTTGTTTTTAAGTCCTAATTTCTAAACTTACTTTTCGCATTTGCACGCATAAAAGAGCATCTTTCTTTGCAACCATTTGGAGTTGATGAACAATACAACGACCTAAAATAAAAATTGTTTTGAACTTGAGAAAATTAGGAATGTGAGTGTTAATTAGTGTTTGGGTTTTTGAGCTTATTTATTGTTAGAAAAATTATTTTTTCGAAAAAGTTTGGATGGAGAGTTCCAATAAATAAAAACTTTTTAGTCATTTTTCGCCGGGGAAAAATACTTGTGGACTAGATTGGAGGCCCAATCCGACACGATTCGAAAGAACGAGTCGGGCATTGAATTTTGGTTCGAAAAAGACTTGGTCGGGCCGGTCAGAAAAAAATGACTCGAACGTCGGCCCGACTCGAAAACACCAACTTGGACAGACAAAGATTGTTTGACAAACACAAATATTTTTAGGTACTATTTTGTTTTCAAAAGGAAAACATTTTTCGATTTAAATATATTTTATCCTCGAATATCTCTTCACCCAATTTCCCTACAAAAACACATTCCAAAAACTCTCACCAAAAGATTCATTAACATCATCAATCGTTCCCCCTCCACCTCCACAAACAGAATTAGTACCACAAATAGTAACTCCTCCTCCACTTCCTTCACTTCCACTTAAAGAATTTGTATTTAATAATTTAGTTTTTGTTGTATTTGAAGGTTCTAAAGGCGCTGGAGAATATGAGGAACGTTGCTGTTGACGTTGAGGTTGTTGATGATTATGGTTTTCATGCCCGTTAGTTGTAATTTGTCCATTTGTCACTTCAATACGTTGTCGAAGTAATAAATCCAAACCACTCAACGAATCAGCTAAAAATTAAAAATAATTATTTTATACTAAAATAATCAAATCTCAAAATAAGACACCCCCATAATTAAATATACCCTCAATTTAAGAGACCTTTTTAAACAAAACTTGGTTGTCACTGGGTGGAGGAGAGCTGTCTTATTGTTAGTAGGGAGACATATTGGGACGGACATATCGGGATTTACGTTGGTTCTAAGACATACTATAGGACAAGTTACTATTATAAACCCGGTGGCCCTATATATTTGACTCCCCTCTACTAAACAACACTCCGCCCCTCCCAATTTAAAATACACCTCAATATAAGGCAGGTATGTTAAGGGCTACCCGTAACCCGGACCTTTTCCGACCCGAACCCAACTTCCTCTCACCCCGTGTCATCTCTGTTTTTGAGGTATACGATTTTTCAGCTCCCAAGGGGTGTCCTTTAACGATCTTAACGAGATATCTTTCTTTACTACCATAAATATCATCCTTCCTTCTCTTCCTTTTCCCCTTCAAATTCTCATTAGTAACAACAACATCCTCATTATTTTCTTCCCCTCGAATATTTTGTTGCCGCTTATTTTGTTGTTCAATTTCAACATTTTTTAACTCTTCATTTTCCTCTTTTGATTTTTTATTTAAATCAGTATCCACAATAATTGTCTCAATATCATCCTCCATTTTTTGTGGGTGAAATTGTTCATTTAAAGCATTAAAATTGGACAAAAGCAAATCTTGGGGAGCGAAAGAACTGAGTAAATTAGACATTAATAAATCGTTTGTTGATTGAGTTTTGGGGTTAGACAGACTAGACAAACTAAAGAAAAAAATTTTTTTTTGGAATTTTTAAAAATTTTTATTTACTCTTCTTCAATAGCCAAATAACTATTTGTTGATTTGTTGTGTTTGTGAGTAATTGCAGATGATAAGCCTCCTCTCATACCTTTTCGACTACGACGAATTTTGTGATTATCAGGTTCCTCACTGCTTAATTTTAAAAATGAATTAAAAATAAAATAAATTTTCTTTTAATTGAAGAAACTATTAAAATGCCCCAAAGTTTCTGAAGGGTATACCCAAATTGCTCTTTTAGCTTAAGCTCAATCACCGTATTTACTCAAATAATTACCCCACCCAACGAGAGGCTAAAACAATAATTACCCAGATAATTATTCGGACATATACACAATGAGATTGGGCTTCACTTTAAGACCACATTTTTGGATACATAGGTATCGGGCTTTTTGGATATTTATCCGGCTTCTTACAATATAGCCTGATTATCCAATTTTAATCCAAAAAACAATAAAAAGCACCTATTTTGACGTGTATTCCCTTTATTGTTAACATCTCCAACTCCATCATCTCCCCCATAATTACTTCCACCTCCACCTCCCCCTCGAGTACTACACAATTGCAAAGCCACTCCTTCCAACAAAAAATTCATAGGTTGCCAATATGGCCAAGTAATTAATTGATGGTCCGGATTTAATTGTAAAACAGTCCCATTCGGGCTAATATATCCTTCATCATAAAGTTTTTTGACTATTCGAGTAAAACAATAACGAAGTTTCCCCCACTCTTCTTGCACTTGAATTCCTTTAAAAATTAATTTTTTAGAAATTTTCTTTAAATGTTTTCTCCCTCACTTGTAAAAATTTCTGTTCCGCCCTCAGAAAGCAATTCAGCAACTTCATTGAATGCACCCTGACGTGTTGGATTGCTTCGAAAACCTTCGTAAGAACTGTCCCAAATTTGTGGACGTTCATGTATAGCTTCTAAAAGATTTGAGAATTTAAAAAGAAAATCTAGAAATACCCAACCAATTAATTTCATTTTCTGTTCAGAATTCAAAGAAACACCGGAACGATTCATTTTTGTTTTGCTTTGGGAAGACAAAAGGTCGGAAAAATTATCCTGAAAATAGCAAAATATACAGAAAGAAAAAATGTTTTTAGAAGTAAATTGAACAAAAAATAGACAAATTTAAGTAAGTTAACTTACCACCATTTTTACAAGGTTAAAAAAGTTTTTTAAAGACAATTAGTAAATGAAGAATAAATACTTTAACAAATCTGAAAATAAAATTTTAAAGGATTACAGTAAAAATAAACATAATGCCAACAAAAATAGCGAAAATTTAATAGGTAAATTTTGAACTCAGACGGAGTTCAGCAGATGAGATTGCTTAACTCCCCGTATCTTTTTCGTTTCTTTAAAGTTTTCCAAACTTGAAAACAACGGTCATAAACATAGCAAAGATTAAATGCTTTTGAAGGTAAAGGTAAAGGAAAAGGGTAGGAAATAGGCTAACCAAAAACTAAAAGGCTTAAAAATTAGACATAACTCAAATGTTTATCACAAAAAATTACCAAAATTGCAACCCCAAAGATGACAAAAAAAAAGAAAAAAAAACAAAAAAATAGGGGAATAGAACACAAAAATGGCGAAAATAAAAACATTTATGTGTAGTATATAATAGTACAATCATGTGTTTACATGTTTACCCCTAACTTTTTCCCCATTATTAAAAAGTAGAGGGGAAAAAAGAAGAAAAAAAAATATTTAGTAGAAGGGTTGTTTTTCTGTTTTTTGGAGAAAAATAATGTTTCTAACTACAAAATGATCTACTAAAAATGAAAACAACTCTTTTCTTGTTATTTTTTTTATTTTTACCTAATTATCGGTCAGAAATGTATTTATCTTTTTTTTATAAAGAAAAAATGTTTTCCCTTAAAGAAAGTATTTTTTCTTTCAAAACAAACATCAGAATCAGTCAGGGCTGTCCGCAAGTGAAAAAAATTTTCCGGAACCGCAGTCCACAATTTTAATTTTAAAATCCCAGCCGCAACCAGCAGTCCGCAGTTGCGGACTGCCCTGGTCCGAATTGCAGAAAAAATTCAAATTTCAATGTCAGAATCAGAAAAAAAAAACACTTTTAGACTTGTAATGGACATGAATTTTGGTGTCTGTATCCGAATATTTACAGCGGATACAGAAGGTTATCCGCGGGAATTTTGAACTTATTTGCATCCATCCCCATATCCATTACCTACTCTGCTTTTTTCTGTTGTTGTGAATCCTCTCTTTATCGGATAAAACAAAATTATATTTCGCAATTTAAAAATAACAAAAACATCAAAACAAGACGGGAAGGTGGCAGGATTGAAAAATATAAAAGAGAATGAGCGCTCCAACGGACATTTGGCTCTGTTGTTTGTGAAAGGAAAAAAGGAGGGGGGGGGGATTGTTGTTGTTTTTAATGTTTTCAATGCTTTGTGTGTGTACATTTTGTGTGTGTGCACAAAACTGTCAATTTACTTCTACTACTCTTCTACTTCTAAAATACTTAAGCAGCCAATAATACAGCCTCTATTATGTATGTAAAGGGTCAACGGGCAAAAAGGGGGGTTGTTTTTCGGGTTGTTTTTATAATTTCCGTTTAGTTGGCTGTCCTAGGCAATAGAAACATTTAACAGAAGGAAAGGAAACAAAATAAATTTAGCACTTTTGGGCGCATTTTGGGCTATTTTGAAAATCCAAATAACAACAACGCAACTTTTTTCTCTCTTAACCTTTTGTCATTCTAGATAAGGTTATCTCAACAGCAACAAAAACATGATAACTTAAAAACCTAGTAAATTCATTCTCTCGTCGTCTTTTTAAAAATAATTAGAAACACACCTACTATTTCAACTAACAAATTGTTTAATCGGCAATCCCGGAGAATCGTGGTCCCTGCGGAAAAAAATCTTAAAAATAAGGAAAAGGATTTTTCTAGGGTAAAAAATTATTCTGATCACGAATCTGAACTCAGATTTTGAAAAAGTCGAATCCCGGGCCCGAACCAAATTTCGAACCCCGAACCCGAATTTCGAATATACAAATGATAGCTCATTCGAAAGAGCTCGTTGAGCTGCATCGAATGACATCAAAATCAACGTGATTGGACATGTTTCGACAAAGTTATGACACAAAGTAAACCTATGGGAGTACTGCGTGAGTCGGCGACTTATGTCATAACCTTGACAAAACTTGATCAATCACTGTAATTTTGGTGTCATTCGACTCAGCTCGACGAGCTCTTTCGAATTAGGTATCATTTGCCTAAACTTTTTTTTACTTCAAAAAATCACCCCTATGGTTTTTCAATATTCCGGGGTCTGTATCTCGGTCCAATCACGTCGGATTTTATCGAATTTGGTGTCATTCGATGCAGCTCGATGAGTTCTACATGCATATGAAAGACTGACCATTTTGTACAATGTCCGACAATGTCCGGGGTCAAATTCAGAATTCGGGTCCGGGATTCGACTTTTTCAAAATCTGAGTTCAGATTCGTGATCAGAATAATTTTTTACCCTAGAAAAATCCTTTTCCTTATTTTTAAGATTTTTTTCCGCAGGGACCACGATTCTCCGGGATTGCCGTTTAATCAAAACAACAAACATATTATAAAAGTTTCACCTCCAAAAAATTCAAAAATAAAGAAATAATTTATTTTAACTGACAACAAAAACTTTTAAAAAATTCTCTTTTAATTAAAATAAAAATTAAAACATTTGAGAGGCTAAATTAAAAAAAATTTTTTTTAATGAAGATAGAAAATTTCAATAAATGGATTTTAGTTGAGAGGGAAGAAATTAAAATGGCAAACGTCTAATAAGTAGTTGTGTGGCAAATAAAAGGGGAAGATTGCGGGTGGCGCGAGAAACACTCATTCACCCCCCCCCCCCTCCCCTCCTTCCCAAAAAATTTTTTCTTGCGCGAGTTGTTATTAATGCGTGCGTGTTTTAGGGTGGAGAAAAAATATTTTTGGGGGGAGAGGAGGAGGGGAGTTTATGTTGAGAAGCGCCGTTTGTGTCAATGTTTGCGTGGATTTGGGTTTGAAGGGAGAGGGAGATGCTTGTAGTGTGTATGTGGAGGGAGGGGGGAGATGTCAGGAATGGATTTTGGGGATAAGAAAAAGTGGAAAAAATTGTTTAAATAAACATTTTGAGTAACTGTTAGTGTATGTTTTGAATAGAAATTTGATTGAAATTAAAAATTTTAGCACCTCAAGAGGCCAAATTTTAAGGCAAGGATTCTATAGTTTTGAAAAAAAAATTTTTAAATATAAATCCTAGGCAACAACAAAAATGCTTTTAATCTTCTAATAGTGCGACTCTCTCTATCAGACCGACCCCTTCTAATAAACCGACCCTCTAGAGGATGGTTGAAAAATAAACCGACTGGTTGCACTATTCGAAGAAATACGGTGTTTCTTCTAAATTTAAACAAAAATTAGAGTAAAAACATTTCAAACAGCAAAGAATAAAAAAAGAAAAATATTTTTAAAAACAAGTTTTGTTCATCTAAATAAAACCTTCTAACAACAACAAAAATGCTTTTAATGTTTAAATCCGAGATGTGAATAAATAGAAAAAAGAAAAGAGGAAAATTGGGCACAAATGGTTGTGTGTAAAAGTAAGTACATAGTATGTAGAGGTGCTCCCAACATTAAAGCTCTCACAAACATTGACGCGCCCAACAAACAACGCTAACATAAAACGAAATGAGAGAAAATAGTGGAAAGAAATGAGAGAGACAACAAAAAAATTTTTTTTAGAAAAAAGTCATTAGAAAACATATAAACAACAAGAAGGACGTTATGGACTTTTTTTATATTGTGAATTTCGCAAACAAAACAGCGACGCGACGAACCAAACAAACATATATATAAAAATATACACACTCTTTTGTGTTTGTGTCTGATTGTAAAACTACCCTAAAACTTATATTCATAAAAAGCCTCTTTTCTTTCCTTTGTGAAAATAAAAAAATACAATGTTTATTGCTTTTTCCACCCAAACATTGAAAAAAAAGAAAACATTAATGTTCAAATTTTTATTATCTTTTTTTCCGATTGTAATATTTTTACAATTACAATCGAAATTCCTCCATGGGAATGAGAGACATCGCTTTCATCGATGTTTTTTCAGGTATCAACTCCCATCTAATGGGCAACAAAAATCCAAAAACGTCAACTAAAAAATTCTTTTCTGATTTTTTAAGAACTTTTTCCCTTGCTTCTCTAAACTTTAATAAATTTTTTTAAAAACTCCATGTTAATGTTATATTAATACGAAATAATGTAAATTTTAAAGGAATTTATTTTTCAGATAAAAACAATTTTATTTTCTTTATTATTTTGATTTAACATATCATCATGGTTGTTTGTGTTCCAACGTTATTTCTGTTCTACTTATTAAAACTTTTTCCAATATTTTTAGATTCCCCCCTCAAGGGCGTCAAATTTTTGAAAGATGTGAGGTTGCAAAAAAGTTCAATTTTGGGCAGGATGTGGCCAAGTTTTTAGAGAAGCTGGAGTACTCAGAAGAATTACAAGAACCTATTTTGTTCATTGACTTTTTGCAAATGAATCAAAATCAACGGCAGACTATACTTAATTTTATGGTTAGTTTAATGATTTAAGTGTTAGTTTTTCTTAAGAATTCCTGGGTAATCGAATTATATTTTTACGTTTTTGTTAAGTTTAATAAATCAATACAAAATTACCCAACGTAAAATCAAACACTTTGGAGGTGTGACAAAATATTAAATTATTTTCTGCAGGTCCAACGAGGAGCAACAGTTGTTGGTACATCAGGCACTGTTGTTAAGTTTGACGACTTTGGACAGTTTTATGAGGCTCAACAAGAATTGAGAGATGCACACCCATGGGCTTTCTATTCTTCTCCGAACAACACTTGGTCTCCTCTTCAACGCGTGCAAACTATAAGAACCGCCGTTATGTATTTATACTCTGAAAACAAGTTTGTCAGTAGTGATATACAATTTTTCGAAGTTTGATGAGTTAAATGTCATCTGATTGTGAGAAAGAAATCTCGTTAAATTATGCTATAAATTTTAATTTTGAATAGCTAGTTTTTTCAGGGTTTACGCTAGAGTTAGAAGTTTGTAAGATGCCGGATCCGATCCGGATCTTTAATTTTTTAAACATCAGGACCGTATTTTCCGGCTCAAAATCCGCAAATCCGAATCTTTTAAGACTCGAACTTTCAAAAAAATTTCGTCATAAAATTTTGCAAGAAATATGCGAATTAGTTTAAAATTAAGCAGATTGTGGAGCATTTAGACATTCGTGACTTTAAACAAGAGTTGTTGAGGGGCATCAAAAGGACTCACTTCTAATCCCTCTATATCTCTCATGGTATTATACTTTTTATATTGAACCCGGACGGATCCGGGGTTTTCGGACGCGACTCGGACGGGATTTTCGATTAAAAAAACGGAAAACCCAATTTTTATCAAAAAAAATCAACCCAATTCAAAAAAAATTAAATTTATTTTTTTTAATAAAATTAATAAACAAACCAAAAATAACAAAAAATAAATACTTTCTCCTTTTAAATTTGTAATGGAGCCAATTCATCTTCGTCTATACTCATTTCACATTGTTGAATTACTAAACTTGCTACTTCATCTGCTATCGATGTTTGTAACAAATCTTTAATTTTATATTGAGTTGAGGCATTATATGCAAATATTATTGTTGTGTCATAAAGAGGAATTGAATTTCTTGATAATCTTTAAATTTTTTAAAATAAATTTGAAAAATTAAGAAAACTTACAATTTAATACAATTTGCAGTTCTAGCTATAATTTCCCTTGTTACAAAAGGAACTAATTCTGTATCATCTACATAACCACCTGTTCCTTGTTCATCTACACCTTTCAAACGAGAAATCCAAATATTTCTAAAAATAAGTTTTGAAAATTATAACCGTTGAAATTATCCTAATTTTATTATTCTAATTTGTGAATCTTTTATAATTTTATTTTCATAGATTAAATCAGAAATGTAGCAAGGGAAATGGAAGGGGATCGAAATCGGAAATTTTTTGGCAGAATCCAAATTTTCGTTTTCGTCATAAAAATAAAATTTTTTGTTTCAACGCCAAAAATAAAGTCAAACATTACGAAAAAATGATACGGGTATGCAAGGGCGTAGCCAGGGGGCTTCTGGGGCTAGGTCCCCCCTCCCCCCCCCCCCATCCCGAAATGGGGTTAATTTTGAAGAGGGGTTTGCGCAATTCAAAATTCCAATTTTCAAAAATAATTTTGCCTGCGGCGCTGAAAATGGAAGCCCCCTCTGAAATCGACCGCCTAGCTACGCCCTTGCAGGTATGGATTAATTTGTGGTTTATTGTTAATTTATATTTAATAATATAAAAAAGAAATACCCGTTGCATCCCAAAATAACTGAGGCACCAAAAGGTAAATTGTGAAAATGTGTTTTTCGTTTTCGTACCAAATGTGGAAAGACTCGTACCAAAATTCCTTGGCCTAATTTTCCATATTTAAGACTTCTGGTGTGGAGAGACAAAGCTCCATCATGAAAAGTTTGTTGTATCTTTAAAAATTTTTCAACCCAAATTAAAATAAAGTTAAACCTCAGCACTAACTAAATCTCCTTCCTTCAAATATTCCCTCATCATAAATTCGTCTTCTATCGATTTTCTTCTCAATTCACCGCCAGGTAAATTTACACTAGTTAATTGGAGAATGCTGTGCACTCTGGCATTTATATCGACTCTCCAACGTTTTTGTTGAACATCTACAATTCTTCCAACAATTACATCACCAATTTCGCCTTGATACCTAAAGAAATTTTGAAAAAATTAAATTTCTATTCAGATTTAAAAAAATTCCCAGACCTGGATTTAACAGGTTTTACACGTATTAACTTGTTAGTTTGCATAACAACTCCAGCTAGAGAAGAAAGCAGAGATTCTCCTTCCAAATAAGTGCCGTGACCACGCATTAAACTTTAAAAAAATACTTTGTTTTTGCAAAAAAATTAATTTAAAAACCCTTTCGCAGAACTAATTACAGCCCCAGGAACTGTTAATTGTAGTCTAGAACGTCCAGAAGTATCAGCATAATTATTTGAGTCCTTAAAATAATTAAAATATAAATTTATTTTAAAAATAAAAAAACCTGTTGAAAACAGTCGGCAGCAACTGACAAAACTTTTTTATTGTTTGGAGGGTCTCCAAATATTATTTCCTGCTTTTTATCTTGAGCTGACATAGAAGAATAAATTTTAAAAAAAGACAACTTTTTTCAGGATTTTTGAAAGAAACTGAAAAAAAAAATTAAAAATTACCATTCTTTAATTTTCCAAAACGGCGCGCCGAGGTTTCGTCCCACCTTGGATTCGTCCCAGCTAAAAATTCGTCCCATCTCAAAATGCCCAAAGCGTAAAAATACTCAATTCGTCTAATTATAAATTTAACAGTAAAAATTTAAAAAATAGCCCATACACATTTATTATTAATTTTCTCACACTACTTATAATTAATCTTATGTATCAATTGAAAATAAACTTTTATTTGTCTAAACCTTCACGCCCAAAACTAGCATTTATAAACCAAAATATGTCTCAACTCGGCCCCATTATTTATTTATTTTTTAAATTTTATTTTAACTTAATTTAGAATAATTTATATGTTAAAAAATTATTTTTTAGATAAAAACAATTTTGTTGTTCTCTTTATTATTTTAATTTGACATCATCATGGCTCCTGTTCCAACGTATCCCTATTTATACTAGTTGCTTAGAATCTTTTATTATTGATTTTTAGGAAGCAAGAGGGAGGTCAAATTCTGAAAAGGTGTGAGGTTGCAAAAAAATTTAATTTGGGCGAGGATGTTGGTCAATTTTTCGAGACGCTCAAGTATTCAGAAGAAGACTATACACCAATATTGGTCATTGATTATCTGCAAATGAATCAACATCAAAAGCAGCTCATCATTAATTTCTTTGTTTGTTTTATAATTTAGATATTTTTACAATTTTTGTACATAAGTAGAATTAGTTTGAGTGTGTAGTTTTGTTGGAGGGGGGGGGGGGGTTTTGGGGCAGTTTTGTTGGAGTTCGCTCAAACAAGCACACACTTAAACGACAGGCACTCAACTAGAACAAAATCATAAATTATTTTTTCAGGCTCTACGGGGAGCAACAATAGTTGGTACATCAGGCACCGTTATTAAGTTCGACAATTTGGGTCAATTTATGGAGTCTCAACTGGCATTGAGAAAAGCACATCCATGGGCGTTTTATTCGGATCCTAACAACGTTTGTACAACCTACTCACGTATTCAGACTATAAGAACCGATGTTATAACTTTCTTCTCTCCAAGCAAATTTGTCACTGGAGCGACACAATATTTCGAAGTTTGAGGAATGAATTACATATAAGACAAAAATCTCTTTATTTTTGTTTCATCTAAAAGACACAGTTTTTGGCTATATTAAAATGTTTCTTTTTTGTTTTTTTTTGTTCCATCATTTTTAACTGCTTGAGCAGGGTGGCCCTTTTACCCTATTTATAGAGGATTTTCCCTATTTTCGACCTTTTCGCCCTATTTTTTCCCTATTTTTTCATTTGCCATATTTTTGCCCTATTTTTAACATTTTGTAAAATTTTTACAATTTTAGAATTTTGTAAATGAAATAGCAGAAAAACAAAGAAATCTGGCTTCTTGGCCTTCGAAAGTTATCAAAATTTTCGCCTGCGGCGCTGAAAAATGCAGTGATTTACTTCAAAGCCTCCCAAAATTCTCAAAATTTTTGCCTGCGGCGCTAGAAACTGAAGAAACTGATAATTTTTGAAAAGAAAAAAATTAAATTTTTGAAAAGCCTGGGCCTGACCTGAACTGGGTTTGATTTATTGACCTGGGCCGGATCTTGGACCTGTAGTCCAGGAAAACCACAGGCCCGTGAAAAATTCAGGCTTAATTTAGTTTAATTTTTTGCTTTGCTTAATTTAGTTTTTTAAAACTAAATTTGCTTAATTTAGTTTTTTTTGCTTAATTTAGTTATTTTTTGCTTTGCTTAATTTAGTTTAAACTAGTTAAAAATATACAGAATAAAGCTTTTTATTTAAAATTTTAATTATTTTTAAGCTTTTTAAATATTGCCATATTTTTTGCCATATTTTTGGCAGATTTCGCCCTATTTTTGCCTTATTTTTGGTTGGCTGCGCCCTATTTTAGTGTTTTGGAAGGGGCCACTCTGTGCTTGAGTTAAGCAAGTAGTTCTTGTCTGGAAAAGTGGTGAGTAAGCGGGCAATTAAGCAGTCGACAAAAATTTAAAAAAAATATAAAATGATTCAAAGATTAACGCAGGCAAAATCGTGTTTGCCGTATCCCGCATGCATCTTTTGAATTTTTAGGGAATGAATCCCGCATCTAAATTTGCATTTCTCGTTCTTATTTTAGTTATCGAACCTAGTGACAATCGAGAAAATGATCGTTCGAGAATCTCCTGTTATCAAACAAGTGATTGAGCGAGTGATATGAGAATCCGCAATCGGTTAATCCGCTATTTGTGGTCGATCAAACCTTAGTATCGTCAAACAATACTTTTAGAGATCAATCGTAGGGTTGTCGATTTCAACAGATTCAACGGTTAACTCGAACCGAAAATTTTTTCGAGGATTAATGAGTTATTAAGGATTAGTTATCACTTAAATACCTCGTTTGCAAGGATACCGGAGATTAAATAAGATTTGGAAAGATGTAGCCGTATTTTTGGCTATAACTTTTTCAATTCCTAATCGATTTAGATAATTAATAGTTCAATCGAAAGTTCTTGATGTAAGGATTATTTTATCTAGCAGATTTGTTCTGATCAGATCAACTTACAAAAACTTACAGCCTAATAAAGGTCAAAAATCAGGATTGCGCGCATTTAATTTTCCAAAATAATTTTTGGCATTCTGTTTTTTATTTAATTTTGTCATTTTGTTAAAAAACGTCAACAAAAAATTTTCATTTGCAAATTTTATTTATAAAATGATGATTTTATAAAAGCTACGTTGTTTTAATATCAACGGTATTTAAAAATATAAGAACTTTCTTGTTCTTTTTCCTATTGTTTTATCCAAACTTCAATTAATTTTAAAAAATTCCAAGTCTAATATGGAATTGTTTTATTTTTAAAAAGAATTTTATTTTTCAGATTAAAAAGCAATTTTGTTGTTCTCTTTATTTTATTTTGATTTGTCATCATGGCTTCTGTTCCAACGTATTTTTTACTGGCCTGAATCCTTTCCTTAATAATTATTTTTTAGAAAGCAGGATGAGAAGACTAAACGTAATGAAGAGTTAGCTACTGCTATTCTCAAAAACAAACCAAAGCCAAATCGTTTAATTGTTGACACCAATCCAAATGATGACAACAGCACAGTTTGTCTGTCTCAGGCTAAGATGGATGAACTTAACATCTTTCGAGGGGACACTGTTTTCCTTAAAGGAAAGAAGCGTCGTGAGACAGCTTGTGTTGTTCTTGCATCTGAGACTTGCCCAAACGAGAAAATTTTGATGAATCGTGTCGTTCGCACCAACTTGCGTGTTAAGCTCGGTGACGTCGTTTGGTAATATTTAGCTTATTATAAAGTTGAGATTAATTTGAGTACATGCCATGGGTTTGTCTTATCATTTCTGAGTTCCTTGGGTCCTTTTTCGACTCCATTCCCAGAATTCTTTCAGTTAACCTGAAACTTAAATAATTTATACTTTAAGCGTTGTGCCAGCCTCGAACATCCCAAATGGTATCCGCATTCATGTTTTGCCAATTGACGACACCGTTGAAGGTCTTACTGGGTAAGAACACTTGACTCTTGTTATGGTTTCCTTATCTCATTTTCAGAAATCTTTTTGAAGTCTACCTCAAACCCTATTTTGTCGAAATGTATCGACCTGTTTACAAGGGTGACACTTTTACTGTGAGCGCAGCTATGAGGACCGTTGAATTTAAAGTTTGTTTATATTGAATAGTTTATAAGTCAATCTTTTTTTAAGGTTATTGAGGTTGACCCCAGTCCAGCGTGCATTGTTGCTCCATCAACGATAATTCATTGTGAAGGTGATCCAATTAAACGAGAAGATGAGGAAGGGAATCTTAATGAGGTTGGCTATGATGACATTGGTGGAATGCGTAAGCAGTTGGCACAAATCAAGGAAATGGTTGAACTTCCTTTGCGTCATCCACAACTCTTTAAATCTATTGGAATCAAACCGCCGCGTGGAATGTTGCTCTTTGGACCACCTGGAACAGGAAAAACGTTGGTTGCTCGAGCTGTAGCTAATGAAACTGGAGCGTTTTTCTTTTTGCTCAATGGTAATCTTGAGAACGTTTGAGTTTTTCATCAATTTTTATTTTTAGGTCCTGAAATTATGTCTAAACTTGCTGGTGAGTCTGAGTCGAATTTGCGTAAGGCTTTCTCGGAGTGCGAAAAGAATTCGCCTGCTATTTTGTTTATTGATGAAATTGATGCTATTGCTCCGAAACGTGAAAAGGTTTATTCAGGATCTTTTCTATTTGATTATTTTACGTTTAATCTAGACTCATGGTGAAGTTGAACGTCGTATTGTTTCTCAACTTCTCACTCTTATGGATGGATTAAAGCAGCGTTCTAATGTTATCGTTATTGGAGCTACTAACCGTCCTAACTCTATCGATCCGGCTTTGCGTCGTTTTGGTCGTTTCGATCGAGAAATTGACATTGGGTATTTAATAATGTTTAATTATTTTATTTTCATTTATTAATTTAGAATTCCTGATGCAATTGGACGTCTTGAAATTCTTCGAATTCACACAAAGAATATGAAATTGGCTGATGATGTTGACTTGGAAAGGATTGCAAACGAATGCCACGGTTATGTTGGTGCCGATCTTGCCGCTCTTTGTTCTGAAGCTGCAATGCAGCAAATTCGTCAGAAGATGGAATTGATTGATCTTGAAGCGGAACAGATTGATGCAGAAGTATTGAATATGTTGGCTGTTACTATGGATGACTTCCAGTTTGCTCTTGGAAAGAACAGTCCATCTGCTCTTCGTGAAACTGTTGTAGAAACTCCAAATATCTCTTGGGATGACATTGGTGGTTTGGAAGGAGTTAAGCGCGAGTTGCAAGAGTTGGTTCAGGTTGGATTTTTCTCATACTAAATTCTTTCAATAAAATTTAAATGTGCAGTATCCAGTGGAGCATCCTGAAATGTTTCTCAAGTTTGGAATGCAACCGTCCCGTGGTGTTCTCTTCTATGGGCCACCTGGATGTGGTAAAACGTTATTGGCTAAGGCTATTGCCCATGAATGTCAAGCTAACTTCATCAGTATTAAGGTAATTTTTGAGGAATTTTACATTTAAAAATTCCTTTTGCAGGGACCTGAGTTATTGACAATGTGGTTTGGTGAATCTGAAGCTAATGTTCGTGATGTGTTTGACAAGGCTCGTGCTGCTGCTCCTTGCGTTCTTTTCTTTGACGAACTTGATTCTATTGCAAAGTCTCGTGGAGGAAATATTGGCGATGCTGGGGGAGCTGCGGATCGGGTTATTAATCAAGTTTTGACGGAAATGGATGGAATGGGGTCAAAGAAGAATGTTTTTATCATTGGAGCTACCAATCGGTTATTTTATTTATGATTTTATATTTATTTTAATTTTCTGTATTTAGTCCCGATATCATTGACCCGGCAATTCTTCGTCCTGGACGTCTTGACCAACTTATTTACATTCCACTTCCAGACGAGGCAAGCCGTCTCCAAATCTTTAAGGCAAATTTGCGTAAAACTCCAATTGCAAGCGATGTTGATCTTAACTTTTTGGCAAAAACGACAGTTGGTTTCTCGGGTGCCGATCTTAACGAAATCTGCCAGCGTGCTTGCAAACTTGGAATTCGAGAATCGATTGAAAAGGCGGTTGTGAAAGAAAAGGAGCGTCAATTGCGTGCCCAAAAAGGTGAAGAATTGATGGAGGAAGCTGATGAAGATCCGGTTCCCGAACTTACGCGAAAACACTTCGAAGAGGTTAGAAAGGGAGATATGGATGTTTATCTAGTTATTAAATTTTAGGCAATGAAGTTTGCTCGTCGCTCGGTTTCTGATAATGATATTCGTAAATATGAGATGTTCGCTCAAACACTGCAACAACAGCGTGGTTTTGGAACAAATTTCAAGTTCCCTGGCGGGAAACCAGCTGGTGGCTCTGCAGGAGGAGGACCTCAGCCAAGCGCTGGAGGAAATGATGATGATGACTTGTATAGTTAGATAAATGAATGACAATTCAATGAAAAGATTTAAAAATTGTGTAATGCGATTTCTTACTATATTTAAAGTGCATTGTTATGCATCCCCATTTTTTGTTTTATGGTCATTTTATAAAAGTTGAATTGGTTTGTTGACTCGTTAATTGCTATTAAATATTTTGTTCTATTCTCTACAATGCCATCGTATATGGGATTGAAATCGTGATAGATCCAAAATGTATTTTTGAAAGATTCATCAAAAATGGAAAATTAGGGAACGTGTTTGATAATTTTGACGGTGACTAAAATCGGCGGTACTTTTCCGTTTTGTTACACCACCCCCCGGATATAGTGTAGTTCACCGGAGGTAAAAGTTCGGGACGTGACATATGTCATTCGATTCGTCTCGGCGAGCTGAGTCGAACGGTACCACTCCCAATTTCAGGAAATGATTCTGGACCGAGTTATAGGTCCCGAAAATTGAAAAACCATAGGGGGGACCAAGCACTTTTTTGGGGTGAAAAATTCGAAAATGCAGATTATACCTCATTCGAAAGAGACCGACGAGCTGAGTCGAATAGACAAAGTTATGATACAAAAAACAAAAAACCTAAACCTATGGAGCGTCGGCGAGGCGCTTGTGCAAAACCCCGCGCTTCGCGCGGGGTTTTGCGGCACGCGCCTCGCGGGGAGTCTACGGGCGCTGGGTCTGGGCTCGTAACATAAACCTATTCCTATATCCCTTGCTCTGGACGTATTTTGGGCCTCCGTAGCAGCAAAAATCTCCACAGATGCCATAGGTAAGGAGCTAAAATAAAAGATCATAACTTTGTCCAATCAAGTCGGATTTCTTTGATTTTGGTGTCATTCGACTCAGCTCGTCGAGCTCTTTCGAATGAGGTATAATTTGCATATTCGAATTTTTCACCCCAAAGAAGTGCTTGGTCCCCCCTTTGGTTTTTCGATTTTTCGGGACCTATAACTCGGTCCAGAATCATTTCCTGAAATTGGGAGTAGTACCGGTCGACTCAGCTCGCCGAGACGAATCGAATGACATATGTCACGTCCAGAAATTTTACCTCCGGTGAACTACACTACAGCCCCACCCCCCTATATTAATGCTAAAAATGCTGCCGTTAAAGTACGATTCATTATTCGGGTAAATTACCATTTTTTAGTGGACAAAACAAAATTTAATAAGAATAGGCAGAACATTTATTAAACAAAAATAGCAAATGTATGTATAGTTGGACCTCATTATAAGACACCTCTATAACTAGCTACATTTCTATCTAATTGTAAGAATTTTTTTTTCAATTTGGTTGACCAATGGGGAAGGGAAATGAGAGATACTCCCTATTTAATGGACACGCCCGATTAGGCGCGGGCCGACTAGGCGCGACCCATTAGGCGCCGGCCGATTAGGCGCCAAGCTTATTAATTATCTGATTATAATCAGTTAGAATGGTCCCATCGACCATCAAAAGGGACCATTCTGAAATTCAAAACAAAAATTTTCTAAAAAAGAAAATTTCCAAAAAAATTTTCCAAATATTTCCCTAAATTAAAAAACCTTGAAAAGTTTCACGACCAAAGACCAGAATATGGTCTCCTTATCGACTGTTTGCTAAAAGAAACTGCTCGAAAGCTCCAGGCTTTGATTCATAACGTCTGCTTTTGTCCGGTATTATCAGAATCGATCTATTTTTAGAATTTGGAGGTCATTTTGTTCGATATTTAATTAATAAGCTTGGCGCCTAATTGGCCGCGCGCCTAATCGGCCGGCGCCTAATCGGCTCGGGCCTAATCGGGCTGTACCCGTATCTAATATATACCTCAAAATAAGATACGATTTTTCAGCCCCAAGAGTATCTAAAAATGAGGTTCGACTGAATTTTTAAAAAATCAAAGAAAGACTAAACAGTCTCCATAGTTTCAGCTTCAATTTGACGTAAAATTTCCTCCAACTCATCAGTGAGTAGAACACGTTGAACAATATTCCCCTCATTATCACGCTTCAAAACCTTAATAAATTAATAAGTTATATTTTTTCCGGAAAAATTTCGGAATACTAAACAAAACGCAAACAGGTCACACAATTCAGCAAATCAGGGGGGTTATTTTCTAGAACCACAAATTAGTTTGCCTACTTATGTTAGAAACTAAAGAGCCAATTGTTCTCAAATCTCATCCAATCCTCAAAATCTTTAAAAAATTATTTTTACCGATATCTCCATATTACGCGCTACAGTTTGCACAACTGGGACAAAAGCTTTGACCACCAACTTCAAGACCAAGTTTTCGTTTGAAACATTGGCATCATTATAATTCTCCTCCAAATATTCTTTGACAACCTTCTCATTTCGGCCGATTGAGCCAGCAAGTAATTCGTAATACACACCGGATGGTTCAGTAATAAAAAGATGAGGAGTTCCATCGGGATCAAAACCGCCAACAAGTAAAGAGACACCAAAAGGACGACGGCCTGTAGTTTGCGTAAATTCCTAAAAGGAAAAAGAATATTTTCTAAGAAAAAATGGCAAACATGTTTCAAGTCCGCAATAAAGCGGGAGATATGCTCAAGTGTGACTGGATCCTCCAAAGTCAATTTGTAATTTTCACAAGCAACTCTAAAAAAAGTTTAAGATTGTGGAAGAGTAGCTAATATTAAAAAACATTTAAAATTAGTTAGCTAGCATTTAAAACGGTTAGTAGGTGGAGACCGGATATTTAGAGACCGGATATTTATGCATTAAAAAATGAAAAATATGCATAAAAAATAATATGCATAAAAAATTGACAAATTATGCACAAAAATATGCAAATAAACCAAAATATTCAGAAAATTATGCAGCAACAATACAATTTTTAAGTAGAATTTTTAATTTTTTTGAATTAAAAACATTAAAACACCTATTTCTATTAAGATTACTCTCATTTTAAATGTATAGTCCGACAAATTGAGTATTTTTATCTATTTGACATTTTAGATGAGACGTTTTGGTGGTGGGACATTTTGGGATGGGACGTTTTGGGCGTGATACATTATGGGTATGGGACATTTATGGGTCTCGCCTAAAAACAAAAAAATTTTTTTTACAAAATTTGTAATTTTTACAAATTTTTTCCTAAATTTTTACTGAATTTTCAATTTTTGGCAGGATTTTGGGTGATCATGAAGAATCTGGGATCCACTTTTAAAAACCTTAAAGATCATTATTTTTTTCTGAAAATCATTTCATATAGGTAATCGGGCAATCCCGGAGAATCGTGGTCCCTGCGGAAAAAAATCTTAAAAATAAGGAAAAGGATTTTTCTAGGGTAAAAAATTATTCTGATCACGAATCTGAACTCAGATTTTGAAAAAGTCGAATCCCGGACCCGAATTCTGAATTTGACCCCGGACATTGTCGGACATTGTACAAAATGGTCAGTCTTTCATATGCATGTGGAACTCATCGAGCTGCATCGAATGACACCAAATTCGATAAAATCCGACGTGATTGGACCGAGATACAGACCCCGGAATATTGAAAAACCATAGGGGTGATTTTTTGAAGTAAAAAAAAGTTTAGGCAAATGATACCTAATTCGAAAGAGCTCGTCGAGCTGAGTCGAATGACACCAAAATTACAGTGATTGATCAAGTTTTGTCAAGGTTATGACATAAGTCGCCGACTCACGCAGTACTCCCATAGGTTTACTTTGTGTCATAACTTTGTCGAAACATGTCCAATCACGTTGATTTTGATGTCATTCGATGCAGCTCAACGAGCTCTTTCGAATGAGCTATCATTTGTATATTCGAAATTCGGGTTCGGGGTTCGAAATTTGGTTCGGGCCCGGGATTCGACTTTTTCAAAATCTGAGTTCAGATTCGTGATCAGAATAATTTTTTACCCTAGAAAAATCCTTTTCCTTATTTTTAAGATTTTTTTCCGCAGGGACCACGATTCTCCGGGATTGCCGGTAATCGACTATGCTGAGTTCAAATATGCAAGAATTTTTTACCGGAAACGAAAACTAGCAGAGATATAGGCCCCCGAAAATCGAAAAACCATAGGGGGAAGTAAGGTCGATTTTGGGGTAAATAATCCGATTATACAAATTATAGCTCATTCGAAAGAGCTCCTCGAGATAAGTCGAACGACACCAAAATTAACAAAATCCGACTTCATTTGGCCGTGTTACAGACCCACGAAATTTGAAAATTTGGAAATCTTGACTTATAGGGGACTTTTTTTGGCTGGACCGATTTCGACAAATGATATGTCATTCGAAAGAGCTCGTCGAGCTGAGTCGAATGAGGGGTGAATGGTGTCGACAGACAATCAGGGACCGAGTTACAGACCCCTGAAGTTTAAAAAAGAGAAGGGGGGAGTAAGCTCATTTTGGTCAAAAAATTCAAAAATGTAAATTATAGCTCATTCGAAAGAACTCCTCGAGCTGAGTCGAATGACTCCAAAATCAGCTCGATTGAACAAGTTTGGACAAAGTTATGACACAAAAAACAAACAACGTAAACCTATGGGGCGTCGGCGAGGCGCTTGTGCAAAACTCCGCGCTTCGCGCGGAGTTTTGCGGCACGCGCCTCGCGGGGAGTCTACGGGCACTGGGTCTGGGCTCGTTACATAAACCTATTCCTATTTCCCTTGCTTTGGACGTACCGCGGAGACCATAGGTAAGGAGCTAAAAACGACACATAACTTTGTCCAAACTTGTTCAATCGAGCTGATTTTGGTGTCATTCGACTCAGCTCGAGGAGTTCTTTCGAATGAGCTATAATTTACATTTTTGAATTTTTTGACCAAAATGAGCTTACTCCCCCCTTCTCTTTTTTAAACTTCAGGGGTCTGTAACTCGGTCCCTGATTGTCTGTCGACACCATTCACCCCTCATTCGACTCAGCTCGACGAGCTCTTCGAATGACATATCATTTGTCGAAATAAGTCCAGCCAAAAAAAGTCCCCTATAAGTCAATAGTACCGAAAATTTTTGGTGTCAAAAAATTCGATTATACAAATGACCCCTCATTCGAAAGGAGTGCCGGAAAATTGGGCTCTGGAAAATTGGGCTCCAAGATTTTTCGGAAAATTGGGCTCCAACTTTTCGGAAAATTGGGCTCCAGTGGAAATTTGGGCTCTAAGTGAAAAAAACGGAAAATTGGGCTCTAATTTTTTAGGCGCGGGGAATTGTGGGCGTCTAAGTAAATTTTTGATTTCTCCGAAACATGATACAAAATCAAACAACGTAAACCTATGGGCGTCGGCAAGGCGCTTGTGCAAAATCCAGCGCTTCGCGCGGGATTTTGCGGCACGCGCCTCGCAGGAGTCAACGGTCGCTGGGTTCTACAACAGTAACATAAACCTATTCCTTTTTACTGATTTTCAGCTTTGAAATGCCGACCTACCCACTAAGTATCAGCACTCCAGTGAATTTTGTGATATTTCTTGAATAAATCCAAAAATTCATTCCGACGCCCACAATTCCCCGCGCCTAAAAAATTAGAGCCCAATTTTCCGGTTTTTTCACTTAGAGCCCAAATTTCCGCTGGAGCCCAATTTTCCGAAAAGTTGGAGCCCAATTTTCCGAAAAATCTTGGAGCCCAATTTTCCAGAGCCCAATTTTCCGGACACCTTCGAAAGAGCTCGTCTGGCTGAGTCGAATGACAGCAAAATGAGCTCGATTGAATAACTGTGAACAAAGTTATGAACAACAGAATCTTAGCTGGAAATCAAGTACATGATAAAAAATCATAGATAAAATGTCATATCTGACAAGATCTGGTATCAGATTCGTGATCAGCATGATCGATTACCTATTTGAGATAATCTTCAGAAAAAATAATGATTTTTAAGGTTTTTAAAAGTGGATCCCAGATTCTTCATGATTACCCCCCTATGGTTTTTCGATTTTCGGGGACCTATATCTCGGTCCACAGGCATCTCCGGAAAAAAAGAGTGGTACCATTCGACTCAGCTCGCCGAGACGAATCGAATGGTATGTGTCACATATTGAAACCTTTCCACCGGTATACTATACTATATCCAGAAAAATAATTTTTATTTTCGGTTTTGAGTTTTAGACAAATACCGATTTTATTTTGGGGGATTTTTAATAAAATCACTCATTTTCACAATCAGAAGTTTTCGTTTTTTAATTTTGTAAAAACGGTAAATTTTTGACAAAAAAATATTAAAATTTTTGGTTTTAAAACCGGTAGTGAACAACTCCAGTTACAAACTCATTAAAAACCACGGGTACACCTCAAGGTACCGCGAAGCCAAGGAACATTTTGTAAGATAGTCAAAACGTTTATTTAACAAAAATAGCAAATAGGTATATTATAGTAAACCTCATTATCAGATACCCACAGAATGAGATAAACCTAAATTTGAAAATGTTTTTAATTTGATTGGCCACTGGGTAAGGGAGCTGACTGATGTGAGAAATACTCCCTAAATAAAATACACCATACAATTTTCCACCCCCAAGGAGTATCTAAAAATAAGGTCCGACTGATCAAGACAAAAACAAATTATAAATAAAATAAAGAAAAGTCTAAGCAGTCTCCATTGCTTCCGATTCAATCTCGTGCAAAATTGCCTCCATTTCAGTAGTTGTAAGGACACGCTGTACGCAGTTATTTTGGTTGTCACGTGTCATCACCTTAAATATAAAAGGGAAAATCGAATTGTTAAATTTTTAATCGAGAGGCTCTCAAAAAGTTGCAGACAATTTTTGCAGATTTTTTTATATAAAAGCTACATTTTTTACTCCTTTAACTTTTATTTATGTAAAACGTTTGATTGATGTCAAAAAACAAAAGGAAAATGTAAAAAAATAAACAGAATTTGTACTCATAAAAGTTTCCCTCAACCCCAAACATTAAAAAACTATTCTTACCGATATCTCCATATTACGCGCCCCCGTCTGAACCACTGGCATAAGGGCCTTAATAACCAACTTCAAGGCAGAATTTTCGTTCTCAACATTTTCGTCCTTGTAGTGTTCCTCCAAATATTCTTTGACCACTTTCTCGTTTCTGCCAATAGACCCAGCAAGTAATTCGTAATACACACCGGATGGTTCAGTAATAAAAAGATGAGGAGTTCCATCGGGATCAAAACCGCCAACAAGTAAAGAGACACCAAAAGGACGACGGCCTGTAGTTTGCGTAAATTCCTAAAAGGAAAAAGAATATTTTCTAAGAAAAAATGGCAAACATGTTTCAAGTCCGCAATAAAGCGGGAGATATGCTCAAGTGTGACTGGATCCTCCAAAGTCAATTTGTAATTTTCACAAGCAACTCTAAAAAAAGTTTAAGATTGTGGAAGAGTAGCTAATATTAAAAAACATTTAAAATTAGTTAGCTAGCATTTAAAACGGTTAGTAGGTGAAGGGTAATAACTTATGCTCTATTTACCTCAATCAACAAGAAATCGAAAACGGGCTTCTTGCTAATGAGCAAAAATATGCACTTAAGACTTTAGGGCATTGCCAAGGGTACAAAACATCTTAGTGTTAGAGTACCTAAAGAGTTCAAACCCTAAAACCCAACAAATTTCAACAAGTTCAACCTGGCACGGTCAATCAAAACACGAGCATCTGCACTCAAACCAGCAAAAGCAGCCATTACGTGCTGAAAAACAAATTTAATTTTGGCTATTTAACCCAAAAGCAAACTAACATCATCCAATTTGTGTATCTTCCGAATTGTGCGGTCATCTTGAAGAACAGGAACAGATTTCTGTAAAATTTTAAGTAAAAATAAACAAGTTAAGTAAAGTCATAAATACGAACCACTATCAAATATTGAAAAATGAGTCCCCGCCTGACCTATACCCTGAAAACTTATTGCTTGGAGACCCACAGTTTGAAAAGGAATGTTAAAAGAAAATATCGAGGAATTTGGTGTGATTGAAGGGGATAGACCACTGGCTGTACAACAAATAAGCTAGCACCCCTATTGGAGTCAGCGAATGAGACTAAGATCAATGAACAGCCTCACATACATTAGAGCTGAGATACTTGGGTTCAAACGGTTGTCGAGAGTGGTCTATTCTTGGACTTTTACCCAATTTAATCTCAAAAAAACCTTCTCAACGCCAATCACAATGCAATCCTTCCCTTTAACGCCCACAGCAGTTGAGCCTTTTTTAACAGCTTCCTGCGCATAATCAACTTGAAAGAGACGACCATCTGGTGAGAAAATAGTAATTGCTCGATCATAAGAAGAAGCCATTTTTAAACAAACAGAAATTGAAGATTTAAAGTAAAGAAGTAATCTATCTAAAAAATTAAATTGTAGATTAAAGAAAAAGAAAATCTCTTAGAAAAATAAGCTTTTATACAAAACCAAAATCATCGTTTTTCTAACGTCTCTTAATTTAACACACTCTTTCTTAAAAATAATTAAGCGGATCTTCAAAATGGAAAAAGAAATAAATTTTTCATAATACCAAAAAATGGTACTTATACCATTTAGGTCCCACCCCTTTACTTTCCCAGATGATTTTGGGTTACAAATTATATGTCATTCGAAAGAGCTCGACGAGCTGCGTCGAATGACACCAAAATCAACAAAATCTGACTTGATTGCACAAAGTTATACCATTTGTTTTTCCTCCCACATAGGGCTTCTACGGAAAAAAAGTTTTTGCCGCTGCGGAGGAAGCCGGAAGGATCGATGCGTCCCTGAGCCATATTTCGATCCATAACCTCCTCCTTTATGAAACCTCCTCCTTTATCGATCCATAACCTCCAGTCTTGTGCAATCCGTCCCTTTAACCAAATCAACAAAATGCCTCCCTCTCCTTTTCCAAAAAAATGACTGGAAAGCCATGTCTTTGTTTTGCGCCGAGATAGGCGTGTTCATTTCTCTTTTATCTTGACGTAGATACTTTAACAATTTTTCGTTGGTTGTATGATGGTGCTTTTTAATATTTGATTTACGGCCTATTGCCAGCGTTACTTTCATTTTCGCTGTTGCTTTTTCTACAACAGTTGGAAAGAATGATTTGTTTTACTAAAATTTAATCAATTTTTCTATTTTTAAAAAATTCCTTTTATATTTTTAAGGGAATAACAACTTTAAATAATGAATAAATTTTTTACTACTATTTTATTTTTATTAATCATTTTTATTCAAAATGGAAATCTCGTAGTTAGTAATGATGGAAAACTTTCTGTAAAAAATCTTGATGAAACGGCAAAGAATTTAATAGCAAATGCAGTTAATCTTACAGCTACAAATGAAAGGTTTCTTTTTTGAATAAGGTATTGGTCGGGATATTGTTGGAGAGGGTGGAGTCATAACTTATCATTTTATCGTTTTTAATTAGATTGTTTTCTAATTTTTATTTTGTTTCTATTTCAGCTCAAATTCATCCAAATTACCTTTAATTGCCGAACCACCTGTAAATGAAAAGCAGGCAGAAGAGAAGGCTGATTCTTTGGCAATTTTCTTTATTCTCTTTATTATTGTGCTTGCTATACTTTTGGTTCATCTTTTGATTAAATTCCAAGTTCGATTTATGCCGGAGAGTTTGGCAATTGTTTTGCTTGGTAAAGAGATTTTTCAAATAAAACTGCAGATCAATGCAGAAATTTGCTTTTTTTCTGTTTTTCATAAAGGACTCATAAGTTGGCCCTATCCCAAAAGAAGCACGGAATTGTTTTTTTTCCATTACCTGCAAGAAAAGGAAAATGAAGATGGATTGACACGGACAGACAAAACACGGACGGAAATGCTATAAAAATTGATGTGTGTCCGAGTCCGTCCGTGTTTTGTCTGTCCGAGTCAGAGTTGTTTTAAAATTTCGATTTTCGAAAATGTTTTTGTTTTAAAACATCTCTGGTCCGAGTCCGACCGTTACATTTTCCTTTCCTTGCAGCAAATGAACAAAAAACGATTCCGCCCTTCTTTTGAGATAGGGTCCATAAGTTTTCTTTTTTATTGCATTGGGTTAAATCCAAATAAATTCAATACGAGACAAAATCTAAAAAAAATTTAAAGGTTTCTTTCAATTTATTAATTTGATAAACAAATTTTCTAAAAAATTCACTAATAAAATTTTTTCTTATAATTTAGGTGGTCTAATAGGCTTCATTCTTTCTCAAACTCGTTGGGATTGGAGTGAAGTAGAGCAATTTAATCCTTCAATTTTCTTTTTGGTACTTCTTCCCCCAATTATTTTTGAAAGCGGATATAATCTTCACAAGGGCAACTTTTTTGCAAATATTGTTCCAATTCTTTTATTCTCGGTCGTTGGCACAGCAATTTCTTCTTTTATTATGGGATTTTTTCTTTATATATTTGGACAGGTTTTTTCTAAAAATTTTTTAAAACATTTTAAGGAAATTTATAGCTTGGAATTGCTTATAGTTTAAATGCTGTAGAAAGCTTTGCTTTTGGTTCAATGATTTCTGCCGTTGATCCAGTCATTACTCTTGCAATATTCCAGGCTCTCAAGGTTTATTTTTCATTTTTTTCAAAAATTATTTCAAAAAATTATTAGGTAGAAGTTCAACTTTATATGCTCGCTTTTGGTGAATCTATGCTTAATGGTATGTTAATTTTGTTGATTTTTCAAAAAAATTTTTTATAGATGCTGTTGCTATTGTATTGGCTACAACAGCCCAAGAACTTTCTTCCCCAACTATTGCACAAATGAGTTCTTTAGCAACTCTAAAATTTGCTTTTGATCGTTTCTTGATCATGTTTTTTGCATCGGCAGCGCTAGGTGCAGCTATTGGGCTTGTTTCTGCTTTGGTATGTTTTTAATTGTTTAGGATCCGTTTATAACCTTGAACGTCTATCAAATAAAAGTTTAAATATCGTGAGGGAATCAAACCTTTAACCTTGCTGATTTTGTTTGAGTTTGCTTTGCTATAACGAATCTGAGCTGTTTTCTCTTCTATAAATCTAAACCCCCGTCGTTTTTTTTCTAAAGTTGCTAGATAAATTCATCAAGGTCGGAAAATTATTTTTCTTTTAATAGAATAATTTTCTGACTTTTTATAGAATTTTTTTTTCCTAAAATATTTCAACTTTTTTTAAAAATCTTTTATTGTTTAATTTATTTAGTTATTCAAACATATCGATTTGCGACGTACACCTTCTCTAGAATTGGCATTACTTTTAATGTTCGCTTATCTTCCGTATGGTTTTGCCGAATCAATTTCGCTTTCTGGTTTTTTAAATAATTTTTCTAATTAAGAGTATTTTTAATTTAGGTATAATGGCTATTCTATTTTGTGCGATAATTATGAGTCAATACACTCATTTAAATATATCACCAATTACACAAATAACTTTTCAACAAACATTTAGAACAATCTCTTTTGTTGCAGGTTAATTTTATTTTAATGGAAAATTTTTTTATAATTTGAAATCCTTTATCTGATATTTACTTTCCTTCCCAATCTTTCTTCATCTTCTTTCTATCTTATTGGGAGTTGACAATGTCCTATCTTTTTACTATATCAAACAAAATATTGGCGGACCTAACCTTGGATATCCATTTGAGGCTAAAAATCGCTATAAATTCACGTAAGCATTCTTCACGCTGTAGCGGACCAAAGATAAAAAAGAATCCCAAATTGAATATTGTGTTTATTTAACAACTGGGTTTTCTGTAATTTATTGGTTCTACTAGAAACTGGGCTTACATGTCTGAATCCAAGCCTAATAGAAACTTTGGCCCTATCCAGAAAGAAGGGTCGAATCGTTTTTTTCATTACTTTTTATTTCTTTATAAAAATGGTCAATTTTCCTTAAAGTTGATGTATGTTGATGTTTGCCTTAAGGAAAAATGGTGAAAGAGAACAAAATTTTTATATTTTTTCGTTTTCGTTTGTATTAACATTTACACGGACGAGCGCCGGCGAAAACGGACGAGCACGGTCAAACTCGGACGAGCACGGACGAACTCGGACGAGCACGGACGAACTCGGACGAGCACGGACGAACTCGGACGAGCACGGACGAACTCGGACGAGCACGGTCGAACTCGGACGAGCACGGACGAACTCGGACTAGCACGGTCAAACTCGGACGAGCACGGTCAAACTCGGACGAACACTTAACAGACAAAACAACGAGCAGAACAGACAAACAACACATTTTTGTGTATAAAAATTTTGTTCTCTTTCACCATTTTTCTTTAAGGCAAACATCAACATACATCAACTTTAAGGAAAATTGACCATTTTTATAAAGAAATAAAAAGTAATGAAAAAAACGATTCGACCCTTCTTTCTGGATAGGGTCGAAACTTTTAAGAAGAAAGTTTTGATAATTATTTAAAAATAATATTTATTGTCCGATGTTTTGGTCAGGTATTGTATCATTTAGGCCTCTAGTTTAAACATTTTTGTGGTTCTCGAGTCATAAAATAATTTTTATTATTCTACTTACTACTATATATTAATTTTTTAAGAAACATGTACATTTGCTTATCTCGGCTTAGCTTTATTTACATTTGAACTTGTTTTTCATCCAATGTTTTTAATTTTAAGTATTGTAAGTATTTAATTATTTTTATTTAAAATAATTTTTATTTAGGTATTACTTTTTGTAAGTCGAGCAGCAAGTGTTTTCCCATTAAGTAGTTTAGTCAATCGATTTAGCAAAACAAAAATTTCTATGAAAAATCAAATAATTATGTGGTTTAGCGGTAAATTTTTTATAAATAAAAAAGTGGAAAATTTCCTTTTTAAAGGTATGCGTGGAGCTGTTGCATTAGCTTTGGCACTCCATATGGATGTAGAAACTCCAGAAACTAAAAAAGTTATTTTGACATCTACATTGTTTATAATGTATAATTTAAGGATTTTTTTTCAAATAATTTTAAATATTTTTTAGACTTTTCACAATTGTTTTTATGGGTGGTTCTGCGCTTCCGTTAATTAAGGTTTTTATTTATTTTTTATGGTTCTACAATAAGTGTATATGTATTAATTTTTGTCAAATGAATCAAGATACTGTTTAACCTCTTTTTAGATACCTCCTTGATATCTTACATTGAAGTTATCTTTAAAAAAGTAGTATCGTTTAGGCAGCTCCTCCAGGCTGTAGCTACTAGCCAAAGGATGTTTAAAGTTAAGGCGGACTTTAGTTGAAAATTTTGTTAAATAATCCGATTTCTTTTTTCCTCACATAGTTTCTGGAATTAAAAATTTTAGAATTGGGATATCCAGTTTCTCGTATCTATTTTTTTGAAGAATCTTAAATGCTAAAATAAGTCCACTTCTTTTTCTTGTTAACATTTTTATTTATTTTTCAAACTTTATTAAAATTCTCTTTCTCAAAATTTTCTTTTAAAAGATTCTTACTGATATATTTCCTGATGAACCAAAAATATTCAAACAACAACGTCGTCGTAGAAGGGCACGTGCTACTAAAACAAATGGCGTTAATGGCTCAGTCACAGGTGGTGCAGGAACATCTTCACCTTCAATTGGTACAAAACCTCGACATAATTCTCCAGTTATTTTAAGCAAAACACAAGAAATGGTTTTTTAAGAATTATAAAATTATTTCAAAAAATATATTTTAAGGTTATTTTTGACTCTGAACAATTTACTGATGAAATAGAAAATGGATGTGATAATGAAAATAAACGACCAAAATCATCAGTAATGCCCGAAAGGAAAAACTTTTTTACAGCATTAAATGATAATTTTATAAGGCCTTTCTTTGTGCGGAAATTTACAAAACAGGTTTCCTTTGTCTATTCTAGCTTTCTAAGATTTTGAGGAGGAGTTAGCGTTTATTTAAACAGTTATCATTGGGGATCGGGTTGGGCTCATCGATCTCGATAACCGAGATTTCTATTCGAGATCTCGGCTCGGTCCGATCTCTATTATTTTCGATGGCTGTAATTTTGCATTAACATTTTCCTTATTAATGTCTCTTCCCTTAACTAAATCCTTCTTAAGAGATTCTTTGTTTATTTTACAATTTTTTAGATAATTTTAGGTAACATTTGAAAAAAGCTTTGGTCGGAGTTTTAGGCGTTTAGACCTCTTTTCTAAATAATCAAACCCTTTTTTCTATTTTCTAGGAAAAATTAGAAAATAACAAAAAGTTACGGCATATAGCCTTCAAAGCAATGAACCATGACGGTGTTCCATCTTCATCTATTACTGGAGATGTTGGTGGGGGCGGTGCAAGTTCTTCAGGTCCAGCAATTGGTACAAGCAGTGATGAAGAAGTGTTTTTCCAATCTTCATCAACATTAAATGCCCCAAATAGTGAACCAGCCCAACCACTTCTTCCACTTTAAAAGTTTGTATTTTTAATTTTTTGATCCTAATTTTAGTCTTTTTAAGGTCTGAAAGTGTTTCTCTTTTTTTCATTGCCCCCGGTTCTCTACTCAAAATCCTTCGTGTTTTTTCTAGTAAAGACGTCTGTAGAAAATCAAACGGATATTAACCAAGTATATATTAAATTTATATTAATTTACTAATTAATTATTTCCGGATTTTGGATAGAAAAAATCTTTTTTTGAGATTTTTGGTTATTTTTAAAATACTTTTTATTCAAAATCCGGATTTTTTTTTAATTTTTAAAAAAATTTAATGAGCTATCTAAATTAATTGATATTCCTTTTCCTTATTTTTCTTGAACATTCTCTTTAAATTAAAAATATTTTCTTTGTGCAATCTTATTAGATATTCTCTATATCCTTGGATAGTTTATAACCAATTTTAAACCGAAAGTTTTTTTTGATTATTTTGGTAAAAGAATAAAAAAACCCAAAATTGGTAAATTCTCCCCATAATAAAACTTGTTTGGCTAGAAACCGAAAATCTATTTCTAAAATATTCAAAAAAAACTTTGCTAGCTTTAAACTTGGTATAAACTACTACTTACTCTTTACTATCCCTCAATTAATTTCTAGTAGATGTCCTATTAAAATATTTTCTATATTTTCTCATAATATATTTTAAAAATCGACAATGAATGCCGAAATTCTTTAAATTATTAACCAAAAACTAAAAAAGGTTGAAAAAACGAAAAAATTTTTGAATTTTTTTTAGCATTTTTGGAATCTTTCTTATTGTTAGAATCTTTTTTTTTCTTTTAATCAGGCCTGCTCATGGACACGGATATGAATACAGATAATATCAAGATGCCTGCGGATATCCGCCGTAAATATCCGGATACTAAAATCAGTATCCGTGAGCAGGTCTGCTTTTAATCTAATCATTTTTTGACTATAATTATTCTTTACAGCTCACATATGTATATTATTTCTTTTATTATTTCTATATAGTCAAAACATATCGGGTAGGAAATTCTGTTGATTAATTAAAATATTTTAATAAAAACTACAAAATGTCTCATATATCCATTCCTACGTCCCTCTGCTATTTTTTATCACTTTAATCATGCAAAATTTATTTAATTTTCTCGTGATTATATAATTTTTTAACTTCAAATTATTGACTAAATTTTACAAAAAGTGTTCAAAAATTTTTAAGTGAATTTTTGATAAAATTGAATTTCAATTAATTAATATACCCTTAATTAATATACCTTTCAATTAATATACCCTTAATCCCTACAAATCCCTCTCAACTTTTCTTAACCTCTAAATCGGGGATAAGGGAATCCAGAGGGATCAAGGAGGATGTCAGAGGATATGAAGGGATATCAGAGGATTTCTTGGTCAAACATGCACAGATTTTTGATCCGGAACCGAAAAATCCTCGGACCTCCGGTCATTTCTGAAACAACAATTCTAGCCGTAGAAGAATAAAAGTATACAAAAAATAATTAAAAATAATTAATATTTTAATTTCCAATTTCCTTTAAAAACAATTTTTAACAAGCAAAATATTTTCTCTAAATATTTAATTTTTCCTTTGCCCACCCTTTCTCTGTGCAGCTTTACCAGCTTTCGAATATTTACTTTTAAAATTTCCTTTAAAGTTTTTCCTCTTCTTTTCAAAATGTTGTTGTCGGTCAATTGAAGATTTTGAACGTTTATTTCCAAATTTTCCTTTCTTTCCTCCTTTATCTTCTTTATTAAATTCTTCAGATTTTTTATTTATTTGTTTATTTATTCCTCCCAAAATATTTTCTTTTTCTTTTGGTTTTTGTTTTAATTTATTTAAAATTTCCAATTGACGATTACGTTCATTAGACAAATCGTCGTTTGGCTCAAACTAAAAAATTAAAAAAATTATTTTTAAAATACAAAAAGAAAACCTTTCTTTTAATTCCCATCTTTGGTGGCTTTTCTCCTTTTAAATTCTTTTGAAATTTTCCTGCCGAAGAAGTAGACTTCTTTGCTCGATTTAATTGATGAATGAGCTAAAAAAATTTTTGAAAATTATTTTTCTGAATAAAATAATGCTTAATTGAATGAGAACTTGTCTCTGTTCGACCTCTAGTTTAACCCAAAATTACATTAAAAAATTTATTTAAAAATAAGATCTCCCATTTTATTACTTTAAAGGCATTGGAATTAGACGAATCGAATATTCGATCGAATAATTTTCGAATACATCGAGGTCGACTGACTTTTCCAGCAAAAATCGAAGTATTTTTTTTAGATTTTCCGATCTCTAATCAGAATATATTTTCGGAACAAATTTTTTTAGTCAGCTATAGTAAAGATGGTTAAAAATTAAATTGAATTTACACTTTTCTAATTAAAAATAAAAAATTATTTAATTAAAACCTGTTCTTTAGACTTTTCTTCAACAGATCCCAACCCAATAGGCTGTCGAGAACCCAAAGGTTCCAAATTTCCATTAATTTTCATTTTTTTAGAATTAAATAGAGGTTTTGAAGAAAGTTGAGAATTCTTTTCATTTCTGGAAATATTTTTGAGTCTTTGAAATTCTTGTTTATTCGCCTGTTCTTTTTTATTATTTGAACGTTCAGCAAAATAATCTTTATATGGATCTGAAATAATTTTAAATTAGGAAGGACGTTTTTAAAGTTTTAGCCAAGGCTGTGGAGCTAGAAAACTCTCAAGAGGAAAATAACTAAAATATTTGAAAAAACAGCGCCTCAGAAATGGTGAAAAGAATAAAAGATTAATAGGGGCAGATGACCAAAGAATGCAAATTCTTCGCCCGCAGTGCCAAAAATCTTTCCGACTTTTGGTAATTTGAAAATTAATTCTAAAAATTGTTCTTAATTTTTGTCCAACAATTTTTTATCAGCCTATCTCCCAAAAATTTTTTTGGGTACCCCCCGAAATAACAACTCAAAATTAATTAAAAATCCCAAATTTTGTTTAAAAATTATTTTAAACTAAACAAACCAGCTTTATCAGGTATTTCAATCAGCCAATCCTTCGTTTCATTTCCTTCTTTTAAAGCCCTTTTATATCCATATCTAGGCTTCCATTCTTTTGTAGTTTCATCCCAAATTTTTTTGCTTCGCTTCTTTTTACTAACAATTCCCTTCTCTTTTGCAAACTTTTCCCATTTTGTTGGTTCTTTTGGTTTCGGAATCTTTTAAAAAATTGGTTAAAATTGATTTTTTTTGATAACAAACTTACGGGTTTTTCTCTTGGCAAAGAATATTCTGTTGATGGAAGCTAGAAATTTTTTTGTAAATTTTTATTTGAAACAAAGAAAATATTTTTGAATGAATTTTAAGTGAAATGCAAGTTTGAGTACTTAATAAAATTCTACTACTCTCCCTAATTACAAAAAATTCAAACCGAAGACTAGTCATATTTTTGAAAAGAGATTTTCGAAAATCATTTGGCTACATATTCCCATAGTTTTTCAGAGAGCTTATTTCTATTTATTTTAAGAGACGGAGGATACGAAAAAGTAAATTTTAATTCTCACAAAAAAATTTTAAAAGATTTATTTAACGAACCACAGCACACGTAGCATCCTGAACAACTTTTCTTGGCAAATCCCAAATTTTGTCAAATAAATATTGAGTTGATTTTTGTGTCAAAATATTTAATTGATCATTATCATCAATTTTAAACTCAATAGGGTCTTTATTAATTATTAAAAGATTCCCAACGTCCACATAATGACCGGATTCAGTCGACATTATAAAACTAAAAATTGATCCAAAAAACGCAAAATATTTTTAAGAGATTTGAAAAATAAAAAATTCAATAACAAATGAGTAAAAAAAAGAGAAATTTTTACAAGAGATTTATTCATCAATTTGTATAATCAAAAAATGATTTCAAGTGAAATATTTAAAAGAATTACTCGTCAAAAAATAAATTCAAAACACATTCTTAAATTATTCTTCATTTTCCTTCTCATTTTCTTTTGCCAAAATTTTCTTGCGATGTAATTGAGTTGGACGTGGAAGTTGCTCCTCCCGCTTATTAACAAGTTCTTTGAGTTTTCCAATAACTTTTCGAGTCTCCGGTGTAAGCATAGAATCTTCTTGTTGTAACAACTGAAAGAAAAGGAACGTGTGGGTTATCCCAAACCAGTTTTGCAGGCATATTTATGCGGACTCATAATGATCAGATATCACTTCCTCAAATAAATTGAATGGAGACTGGTTTGGGATACCCCACAAGTAATAACTAGGGTTGCCGTTTCGAGCCGACGTTCGGTGCATTTTTTCAAGCATGGTTTTTTTTTCAATTCGGTTAGTTTTCGAGCTGAAAAGCCTGGGCTCGCTCTATCTTTCGATTTTCGTTTCGAGCGAGCTGCAACCCTAGTAATAACCTAGATAAATAATCCACAAATACCCAAGAAAATCTTAAAATTTCAAACTAACGCTCTGAACAACAGCCTCTCGCTTCTTTGCTTCCAACATACTCATAGAAGTCCCTGTAGTCAATACCGGAGTTCCTCTGACAGAAAACAAAAGTTCACCAAATTTAGAAGCTCGCGGCTGTCCAAACCTTTAAAAATAAATTTGCAATATAAAATTAAATTTAGAGAAACCCTTGAACTCTCGGAGTTATACAGGGAGGTACTTTCATGTGCATTCCTCCAGCAACGTTTATAGATTTGTATTTTCCAGGATGTTTAAAGGTTTCGGAACTAGATGATGGCCCTCCCTCGATTACATAAGTCTCATCAACATTGTGTTCTTCTTCCATCATTTTAATATAGTCAACCAGTTTCATGTCCAAAATTTCCTTCAAATGAAAATTAAGGTAAAAAATATGTGTAAAACAAAAAAAACCTTTGGAATGATTTTTGAAAATTCAGCTTTCATAGCAGTCACGAATGCTGTAGAATATTCGCGTTTTGCCATTTCGAGTTCTATAATATCCTTAGCAACTAAAATTGAAATAATTTTAGAATTTAATTTAAAAAAATAAACATTGTTTTTTAATGGCTTCAACTTTTTCTTTAATTTCTCCTTCCTTTGTTGGTGAAATTGCATTCTTCGGCCTAACCATTCGAAAAGAAAAATTATTAGAGAAAATTAAAATATATCTGCTTTTCTGAAAGATTACAATTAAAATTTATACAAGCTGACTAAAACCGGGTAAAATAATCAAAAATGCGGGTTGTTTAGAAATAGCAAAAAAAGTTGGAAAACGGCGGGACTCAATAGTCCCCCATTTTCGTTTTTTTAATTCAGTCAGTTTGGTGCCAATAATAATGACTGGTTGAGTGCCAACTCTTCTCCTGTGTTTGAGTGTTAATTGTTGATAATGTCAACGTTTAGTTTTGAACTCATCACGTGAATTTTATCTCATTCAAAAGCTCGACTACTACAAGTTGGGGGGGGGGGGGTCAGCTTTTCTTTCTTCCTTTAGCTCCTCATTATTTTATCGTGTAAACGGAAATTCCTTCGATTTTTAAAATTTTTAATTCCATTTTAAATTCAATTATCCTAAAAGTAAACATTTTCTTCCTTATTTACAAATGGGTCGATTTTATTTTGAAAAGTCTTCTACTCTTTTCTACTCTAAACAAATCATCTTTACAATTAACATTCCTCGCCTTTGAAGCATTTGCTTTTAGAAAAAGTATTTAAAATGTGGGTGGAAAATGTAAGTGACTGCAGCAGGGTTGATTTGTTTTTACTTGTCAGAAGCAAACAGAGCCCTTTTTAAACTCTTCACAGAGAAGTGTGCTAAACAAAGAATTGACTTTCTTCTTTTGAGTTTATCTAGGAGGACTCTAATAAGCCTAAAAGGTTTACTTGAGCTATAGGGGAAAAGAGACCCAAAACGGCGCAAGGCCATAAGGGCGCAAGGCCATAACTTGTTGGAAAATTTCTGGCCTTTATCAATTTTGGTACCAATCTCTTTAACTCGATGAGAGGAATCGTTTAATACTAAATTTGGAAAAATTCGGAAATCTAGAAGCAAGTTATGGCTTTGCGCCGTTATGTCCGCGCCTACTTGGGTGCACCCAGAAAGAAAAGATGGAAGGAAGTTTTTAATGTTTTCCACAAACTTTTCCTTTTACTTCCATCATGTCAGTGTGGTCCAATCATTTGTTGAGAAAAGGATCGACTGTCACTAACTAACTGCAAGATTATTTCTCCCTTAACAAATCTAAGCATTGTTTATTTTAGTTGAGAAAATAATTTTTTTCTCCTCAAGTTTTGAGCAAAACTTGAGAAGAAAACAAACTTGCGTTCTTTAAAGAAACGTTATTTTAACTAGTTTTTAGTTAAACAATTAGTAAAAATGTTTGGTCGTTTTTCGTTGATTTTTTCCCCTCATTTTTATTTTCTAAAAGATAATCCTCTGCACTTTTTTCTACTAAATAATGGAAACACTAACTAATGATTTCCTCTATTGCATTTTTGAGTGAGGTAGAAAAATTGTGAGAATAGTTTTTTTGAATATTTATGTGATGTGTATTCAGCAAATCATTGAAGCAAAAATTTTTCTGTTAATTTAAAATTTTATTTCCAAAATTCGTTTTTTGTTGATTTTGAATAACAGCTGCAGTCAAAACTTCCAATTTTTAAAATTTCCAATTTTAAATTTAAAAAATTTTTGGAAGAATTTTTTGTTTATTTTTGTAAAAATAAACTAATTTTCGATTTCTTAGTACATATTTGTTTTTATTTAACAGTCGGTCCGTTTTTCAATTTACCCTTAACGCTTAAAATTTATATTTAATATTAGAGGTAACTTAAACATATTAAGGATGTTGCTTAAGCAGCTCCCCTATCCAATAGTCAACCACCAAGTAACTTAAATAGTTTAATAGTATAGTATCTAATTTTGGAGGTATTTAGTAGATATTTTTGAAAAGCCTGGGCCTGTTCCTGCACTCTTGTTTGATTTATTGACCTGGGCCAGATCCTGGGCCTGTAGTCCAGGAAAAAGGCCCAGGAAGGTCAAAAAATGTCTGGGCCTGGACTCTGGGTACAGGAAAAACCCAGGCCTTGGTCCAGACCCAGCTCGATCTCTAGTATTTAGGTAAATCCTAAATTCGATTGAAAAATGTCGAGCGATATTTTAAAATTTTTTAATTTCCATTGGCATTTTGTCAATTTCAGAAATTTTATCCAAAATTAATAAATCACTTAAATCTGCACTTTTGCTTGTTTACAATAATTTTTGTTTACAGAGTTTTGACTGCAGCTGTTATTTTTTTTGTTTTTATTTTTCCCTTCTCTTTTTGTTTCATTATTTACTTTTTTCTAATTATCTCAGCAGCACAATTTTCTTGGAAATTATTTTTTAGCAATTATATTTAATATTTTTGCAACATCTAAATTTGCATTTAAAATTAAAAATGGTTTAGCATTTATTTGATAAAATTATTTTATTCAATAAATATTTTAAATATTGATATAGTATTTGGGGGGGGGTATATAAAAGTAAATACAAATATAATCATTCCATTCTTTCCCTCCCCTCTTTTTTTGCATTCTTTCCCCTCATCAATTCTTTCCAATTTTATAAAAAATCTTGCTCTTTTCTCGTCATATGTATATACAATTTATTTTTATTTTTTTAAATCAGAGATTACATTAACACAAAATTTTGTTTTTATTTTTGTCCACGCTTATTTTAAACTTTTTTAGCCAATTTTGCAATAATGCACTTTGGTCTTTTTCCACGTTTATTCTTTAATTCTTTCCTTAAAAACTCCGAAAAATATTTTTAGGAAAGTACATCAAACAAATTATTTTTAGGAAATTTTTGAATGTTTTTGGGGAAGAAAATTTTATTTTTTGTTGTAAAATAAATATTTAAATTTTTTTATTTTTATTAAATGAAATAAAAATTTATATTTATTTTTGTAGTTAAACACATGGTTTTTAATTATTTCCGCTTTTTTTTGTTAAAAATTTTTGATATAAAAATACCTTATATATTTACATTTATTTACAAAATTTTTATTTTACTTTTCTATTTTTTTTATTTTTTATTTTAATAATTTTTAAAGACTTAATTAATTAATTTAATTAATTAATAGGGTAATTAATTACTATAAAAGATTAAAAAAAATTTTTTCCAGTCCCTATTTAAATCTCTTATTAATTGCCTCCTTTCCTATAATTCCTTCTCTATATTTAAATTAAAAAATAATTGTTTTTAAATCAATGCCAAGCTACTTTCATTTTATTTTTACCTTGTTTTCCCGTTAAAAAATTAGTCTCATTTCAAAATTTTCTCCAAATTTAAATATTTTCTTTTTCCTTTCCTGTACTTAATAATTTTTTTTAATTAGATAATTTTCTTTTTTTAAAGGTTTCTTAAGATCGATGCCTCCAGTCCTTTCTCTTTGTCCCATTCTTACACCATTACGTGTTATTCCTCTATTTTCTCCACAGCCAACAACTACACCACCACAACCTTCACAACACCGAAAATTGTTCATTGGCGGTTTAAACCACGAAACGACAGATGATCAGGTTTGTGTTTTGAATTTTTTTTAATAAAGTTGTTTTTGGTCAGAATTTTATTCGGGAATGTAAGGAAAAAATTTGTCCGCAAAAAATGTCCGCAAAAATTTTGCAGAAAAATAATTAAAAATTATTTTTTCAGTTATGTGACTACTATTCAAAATGGGGGCAAGTTGTGGATTGCATCGTAATAAGGTTAGAAAATGGTTGAAGAAAGTTTTGATTAAATTTTTTAAGGGATCCAGTCTCCAGGCATTCTAGAGGATTTGGTTTTGTTACTTTTGCATTGGCAGGTTTTGAATTTAAAAATAATTTTAATTTTTAAAAAATTAATTTTGAAGAAATGGCTGATGCAGCGATGGCTGAACGACCTCACACAATTGGGGGGAAGGCAGGTTTTTTAAAAATTAGAGAAAAAACCTTTCCATAATTTAAATCTAAAATATTTTATTTAAAATTCAAAAACAGATTGTCGATCCAAAAAGAGCAATTCCTCGAGAACAAATGCTTCAGGCGGCTCTTTGCCCTCCCACATTTTTGGATTCTGAACCTGATTTGGAGTGTAAATTAATGCTCTCAGGTTTTTAGTTATTTTATTTTTTATGCCTTTTTGCCTTATTTTATAGTGAAAAGACTGATTCATAAAATTCTTTGTAATTTCTATTTAGCAATTTATTTAACAGAAATAAAGGTTTCGAATAAAAATTACAACAAATTCTTTATTGGAAATTTTACCAAAAACATTTTATTTAATTTTTATCTGACAAAAAACCTTTTATTTTGCCAAATAAATTATAAAATGAAAAATTACAAAAATTTTAACAAGTTAGAATTTTTACCAAAAAATAAAGCAAAAATATAAAAATACCCCCAAAAATCCATTAAATTATTTAAAGGTATTCTTTGGGATTACCACACTGTTGAAGACCTTCGCCTTTATTTTGAACGTTTTGGTGAATTGGAGCAAGTAGAAATACTTGGATATCCAAAAGGTTGTGGTTTTATTGTTTTTGAAGAAAGTTCTTCAACAAAATTTTGTTTGGAAAATAATCCCCATATAATAAATGGAAAACAAATTGAAGTTAAAAAAGAAGAAGAAAATGGAGAAAATAAACAAAAAAGAAGAAGAAAAAAATATGGAGGAGGAGGGGAAGGAGGAAATTGTGGAGGAGGGGAAGGAAAAATTGGAGGAGGGGAAGGATTGAATAAATTGGCTGAAAATAATAATAATAATAAACTACGACTATTATCTTCACCTTCATTTTCAAACTAGTCGTATATATATATTTAATTTGTTTTTTATTTTAAAGTTGTTTTTTGTGTGGTTAATTAATATATATTATTTAATTAATTTTTGTTAAAAAATTTTATTTAAAAAATTTTTTTTTGTTTGTTAAAATTATACACAAAAAGGAATTTCGGAATAGTAAACAGACTCCGATTGGGACAAATTATATGTCAATCGAAAGGGCTAGTCGAGCTGACATGAGTCGAATGACATAGTATAATATGTCCCAATCGGAGTCTGTTTAGTATTCCGAAATTATACACAAAAAAATATTTTTTTAAATGCTCATTTCTTTTAAAATTAATTTTTCTGGTCAGTCACATTATTTCTTTTACTTCTCAATATTCTATGTCCAGTTAAATCGTAAAAGATTTTCTTGAATATTAAATAACTCAATTTCCCTCATATCTTTATGTTTAATTGTTCCTAAATAATTTTCCAAAAATTGTTTTAAAATAATTATCTATTAATTTTGTTTTGCTCAACTGATTTTTTAATTAAAAAACTTTTTTTTACTCGAGCTATTAAAAATAAAAATTATTGTACTATTTTTAATTTTAGAATGATTGGGAGGGGGGGCTAGTTTATGAGTTTAGATTTGTTTTTTGAAGGTTCTTTTACAGAAAAAACTTTCCAAAATTTACAATATCTTCTTTTAAAAAAAGAATTTAAATACTTGGGGAAGTTCATGGCAGGTTAATTTTTACTTGTGACGTTTCAAATAAGTTTTTTGGACATTTCAGCTGCCACAGACCACAATTAACCAATCGTGAATAACCTCCTAAATTTAAACAAAAATTAAATTATCAGAAATATTTACGTTTATGCGAATATAAAAGAAAAACACACAAAATAAACCGTAAATGTCCTAATAGAAGCTCTGGGCTTGTATTTTTCAATGGGTCTCTAATAGGGTTTGGGTTTCAATTAAAGATGTGCTCCTATTTAGGACACTCACGGTACTTGAGGAATATTTAAATTGAATAAATAAAAATTTAAAAGTTTTTTTAACTCAGAGAAGAATAAATTTTAAATTAAAAAAATTATTTTTTAAAAATTCTTCTCTGACTAAAAACTTTTTTTTTCTAAAAAATACCTTTTGTCACATAATTAAATACCTTCTATAAAATCCCCATTCGAATAATTATAACCGTCTCAGAACATTTTGTATTATTTTCCCTCCTTTCATCTTTTTCAATTATCCAATCATTATTTAAATTAAAATTATTTATTTTTTCTTCCCCCTTCTCTTCTTCTTCAAAATCAGAAAGTGGAAGTTCTCCAGGCTCAGTACTACCAAAAGACTCATTATCTGATGGAGGTATTTCACCAGGCTCAGTCTCACAATCTGAGGGAGGAATCTCTCCTGGTTCAGTTAAAACATCGTCATCATCTTTATTTTCGTCTTCCTTATTATTTAAAATTGGAGTTTCATTAATCTTAAAAATTAAAAAATAATCTTTGTAAATACTTTTAAATATAAATTAGAGTTGGGCATAGAACAAGTGTTAATCTGGTGGGGGCTAACTCGAGGAATTCCAAATCACGTAACAGAAAATCGTGGAACGACAAGTCATGGAATGGCCAAATCACGGAATATTTTTTAAATTAGAATTTAAAGATCAGAAATGTTTTAAAAATCAGAATTTTTTTAAATCTGAAAAATTCTGATTTTTAAAACAATTCTGATCCTTAAAATATAATTTTTAAAATATTCCGTGCTTTGGTCATTCCATGATTTAATAATTCCGTGACTTGTACGTTCCGTGAGTTAGCCTGTCACTTACTACTCGGTAGCCCCGCTTTTCGATTTTCAGTTAAATATAAATTTTATTTTTGAGGAACTTCTAAACGACACTCATTTTCAAAAATTTTCGAGTTTTTAAATTTTTTAAAACGGTTAATTTTTGGCAAGAAATATAAAAATTTTCGGGTTGAAACCCAGTCACCAACAACCCTCCTAATAATAAACCTTTTCATTAATTTTTGTCTGTTCTTCTTGTTGAATAATAAAATTTTTTAAAGGAGACATTGGCTTCTCAATAATTAAAAAATCAGAATCTTCAATTAATTTCTTTGTTTTTTGTGATTGTTCTTGTTGTTCAAACACTTTTTGTTGAATAAAATTCTTTAAAGGCGAAAATGTGTTTTCAATTGATTTTGAGGTATTTTCTTCTTCAATTAATGTTTTCGACTTCCCTGCCAAACTTTGACCACTATCCTTGCTAAGCCATCCATCTTCTTCTTCTTCCTCCATTATTTCGTCTTCCTTTCAAAAAATTTTTTTAAAAAATATTTTGAAAAAATTAAAAAAACCTTTTCATTAATTTCTTTTTCTTCAACTTGTTTTGGATGTTCTTTAATATTTTTAGAATTTAAATTATCCTTCAATGCCTGAGATTTATTTTGATAATCTTCTTTATTTAACCAACCATCACTCTCTTCCATTCTTTCATGTTCCTTAAAAAAGGTATATATATAAAATAGAGCTACGGCCATCGCCCACTTCCGAAATTCAAAGAATGAGAGTAGGGTTGTCGACTCTTGAAAAATCTTCGGATATCCGGAATCGAACCGAAAAATCCTCGGTTCTTAGGTTCGGTCCAGAACCGGCAACCCTAAATGAGAGGGTAACTAAAACACAAATTTTCTAACAGCAGCGCTGAAAAATTCTGATTTTCAACAAAGTTACCCAATAAAAAATAAATTATATTATTAGACCTCCCTCTCAAGGATTTCTCTTCTTAAAAATTTTTTGTATAAATTTTAAATTAAAAAAAACCTTTTGACCATTTCCAACAGAATTATCAATTTCTTCAATAAAATTATTTAAAATTAATATATCTGCAGGTTCTGTCCCATCATTACTAATTAATTCAACACTTTCCTCTTCTTCTTTATCATCTAATAAAATAATTTCTTTTTGCTTTTCCTTCAAATAACAATTTTACTTTATTTTAAAAAAATAAAAAAACCTGTTCCTCAATTTGTTTTTTACCGATATTTTTAGAATTTAAATTATCTTCAAATGTTTGAGATTTATTTTGACAATCTTTACTAAACCAACTATCAACCTCTTCCATCCTTACATGTTCCTTAAAATGGGAGATTTTACCTCAAAAAATGCACATATTAAGATATATTTTTAAAATTTGGTTAGCCGCTACCAAGGGCGCCAGGGGAGGCTGGGGGAAATCCAGAAATCGTCCATCTGACTACGGCCTTGGCAACTACTGGATATACGACAATTATGGGTCGGTTTACCCTATATCAAAAACACGGCCATTTCCGACCCAACCCCGATCCAAGTAAAATTTTAAAACCCCGATCTAAACCCGCTTTTTTCAGAATTCGGGCCATCCCTGATGTGAATTGTCTGACTAGCAATAAGCAATACATATTTTAGGTACCAGGCCCGTAGCCGGGGGAGGGTAGGTATTTTTCCTCACGAAAAAATCCTGGCTTCGGCCTGGTAGGTACTTCTGATTATAAAATACGATTTATTCACACCCAAGATAATATCCAAAAATGAGGTTTCAGATTTAATATAATTTTTAAAAATTAAATAAAAAAACCTCAATTCTTCCTTCAACCAGATTATTCTTATTAACATTTTTATAATTTCCAACAACCGTTTTGCTACTTTCACTTCTTTTTCCTCCTCCAATTAACCAAATAATATCTTTATCAAGATTATCAGGACCATCATTTTCAAAAAAACTTAATTCTCCATTATTTAATTTATTTGTTTCGTTAAAATCTGTTGGAATTTCACCAGGTTCTGTGTCAGTGTCGTCATCTTTTTCTTCAACAAAATTATTTTCAAAAATCTAAAAATTAATTTAAAAAAATATTTTTAATTCAAAGAACCTTTTCATTAAAATTTTTTGATTTTTCTAAAAGAGAATCCCTTGTAGGTGACAACGACTTTTGATTATTAAATGGAGAGGAAGACGAATTTGCAGATTTATTTTTATTTAATTTTTGAGAATCTTTACTAAGCCAACCATCATCATCATCCATTTTTTCATCATCCTTCTAAATTCAATTAAATTTAATGATGAATTTTTATTTATAAAATTTTATTCTAGCCCAATATTCTTCGAATTTCTCATTTATTATAGAGCTTAAAGTACGCGAATTGTGAGCTCATTGAATCTGACAATAAACATTCGACATTCAAAAAATGTCAAACAAGAGGATTTATTTTAAAATAATGAGAAACTAACACTAATTTTCATAGGGACCAATAAACCAAAAGAGAAATAATCTTTTGAAAGTTAGAGAAGCTTAAGGAGGGGACTTTGTCTAAACTAGATCTTATAAAAATTAAAAATAAAGAAAACGATAATTCTACAAAAAATCCTTTAACAAAATTATGGCTAAAAACCGAAATTCTAAGCTACCCAATTTAAAATAAAAAATTTAAACAAACCTCTCCTTCTCCATAATTATAAATATTATCGCTCACAAAACTACTTCCAGCGGAATATTTTTCATTCTGAGATATTGAAGACGGATTTGGATATAATGCTGAAAAAGTAAAGAAAATAATTGAAATTTAATTATTTTCATACATTCTTGTTGATATTTTCCTCTAAAAGGTTGACATCGCATTTTTAAATTAAATTTTTATAATAAGAAAAATTAAGAATATGCTGAAAAATAAAGAGAAAAAAAATTAAAAATCACAAAATTTTTCTTTTACTGTTAAGATTAGAGAGCGGTATTTTGAAAAAACCGGGAAATTGTAGCAGAAGAAATCCGGACCGGGAAAACCGGGAATTCCCTATCCCGGTGTAATCCCGACATCTTCAAAAAAGCCAGGAAAAAGGACCGGCAAACCGGGAAACGATCCCATTCCGCTCTCTAGTTAAGATTTACTTTGACGGTTAGAGACTCTTATTACCTCTTCTATTCAGACTCAATTTGTAATTAAATACATTATGCCAAACATAAAAATTTATGTAACCGCAAAATTTTGAATTTAAATAGTAAAGTTTTTCTAATAAAATGTTTCTCTTATTGTTAGGTTTATTTTTGCTGTTATCGCGTGTCTTCAAAATTTTCTAAGCAAGCAGCGTTTAAGAACGTCCAAGAACCTTGCGAAACACTATTTTTCAAATAATGTCAAATTTGGAGTTAATTTTTTGAAATTATTAAAAACCTTGTTTTAATTAATGTGTTCTATTTAATTTTGTGCTCTATTCATCTACCCAAAGAACAACAAAATTTGACCATTTATATAAAATAAACATTTTTATTTTAAGTCTAATTTTTATCTTAAATCATTGATACCACGGTCTGAGGAAAAAATTGGGAGTATAGTGAGGATAAAATTTTTATAAATTTTGTCGTAAATCCTTGTTTCAAACATCCTTTTCTATTTTAATAGATATTTATTTTTAATTTTGTTGATTTAAAAAATTAGTTAAATTAAAAATCCAACTCAATCAAGTAAAAAAGTCAATAATTTAATCGAAATCGATTTTCCACTAATCGACTAAATCGAGTTGGAAATTCTTTAGAAAAATATATTAAAATAGCATGGAAATAAAGGAGATTTAAAAATATTGCCAAAAAATTCCCTCTATAATTAAATTAATATTTTTCTCTAACTCGCAAGTCTTGTAAAGACATCTAGGTAGGTGTATTTATTCATTCATATCCATTTTACACTGATTTCCAACAAAAAATATTTTTTTAAATAAACAAATTTAAATTTTTCTGAAGTAAATTTCTGTTCTTCAAGTCCATGCGTCTCGTAAAAACATTTTTTGCCTTTTTTGTTTTACCTTTACTTGTGCTCAATGGAATGAGACGAAACCCACGTATGTTTAAAATTCCTTCGAAAGTTTTTCTTATATTTATATGAAGCAGAAGTTACTAGGACAGTGTCAAGAAGTTAACTGAGCTATTTGGGCACGAAAAGTTAATTTCATAGTCATCCCCCATGACTAGATTTAGTACGGATAAAAACACGCAAACCGAGAAAACCCAGTTTTCCCCCATAAGTAGTTTTAGAGCCTGATACTCCTGTCCCGGTTATATTTATATCTACAAGTAATATTCATTTATCAAAATAACTCTAAAATATTTAGCAATAATGCAAAGTGGAAGTAGCTCATCAGCGCTGTCTTCTAATCGAATCGAGTTTTGTTTGACTGAGTTGTCTTTAATGATTTCAATTTTGAATGAAAAATATGATTTAGAATTTAACTATAATAAAGGCAACAACAAGCCTATTAAAGATATATTAAATGAGAAATTGGAAAGTAAACTTATCTACACAAATGAGGAAATCAAACAAAACTTGTATAAAATTGCTGGAAAAATCGTAAAAGTATAAACTTCTATCAGTACTTTTCATAAGAATTAAACCGAGGTTTCGATACCTTATAAAGTGGATAGATACAAGGGATCGAGATTTTTGAAAAGCCTGGGCCGGATCCTGGGCCTGTAGTCCAGCAAAAACCCAGGAAGGACAAAAATGCCTGGGCCTGGACTCTGTGTACAGGAAAAACCCAGGCCTTGGTCCAGACCCAGCTCGATCTCTAATAGATACTTATGTATTTAGTGAAGCGGGAATGAAATTTTTAATTCCTTTTTATAAATCAATTTCGTGTCAATTAAATTCTTGTTTAATTCTTTAAATAAATTTAAAGCTAAAAATGTATTAAAGGTGATTGAACATTATGAAGGAAAAATTCAACAATATCAAAATCATTTATTCATATGGTTTAGCAATTTAAATGAAGAACATAAGCATCTTTTTATTTATAAAAAATTTGTTGATTTTGGGAAAATAATGGACAGAAATGATTACGAAAATTTTTTGAACCGTTTTGGTGTTTATATTTCAGCAACAAATGAAAATGAGAATTTACCTGATTTAAGTTCATTGGATAAGATAGGGTTGGATTTAATAATTAATTTATAAGTTAAGCTTTTACATACCCAACAATTTCTAATTTTATTGGAAATTGGGAGGGAAGGGGAAAGGGTCTGCCTAAGCAATACCTTCAATTTTAAGTACATACAACTCATTTGTATTTATAATTTTCCAATCACGAATGTGGATATAAGACCGAGATCAGGGCAGCACGGACTGCAGATTGGTTTTTTGACTTTTGGACTGCGGATTTTCAAGATTTTTACGCAATTTTTCGCAATTTCACACACATAAAGTGAAGAAATCTTCTCCTTGGCCTACCAAAATTCTCAAAATTACGGACATCAAGAGATTAATACGATATCAGAGGATTAAGGGAGTTAAGGATAATCTAGTAGGGGGCGGAGTTAAGCAGTATGAATGGATTAAACCGATTTTAGGGATATTGAGGAATCAATGGGGAGTAAATGTGATATCGAGTGCTTTAATCTACGATATCCGTCCAAATCCTGATATCTCGCTCAATCCCTTCAAATCTCTAATCCTCTAAATCCCTCCAAATCATTACTTTTCCTTAAAATCACCACAATCCCTAATAAGACATTTTGTTCGAAAGGCTTTTAAAATAAAAATTTTATTTAAATATTTAGTGAACAAGAAAAAAAGCAATTTCCATACTTGTTACTTTCACAGGAAGCTAAGAATATTTTTATTTTTTACCATTTAATCGCAATAACACGTACACTTATCGTCAAGTTTATAAGAGAAAATGCTTATTCTTATATTTATTTGTTAGATAATTATGTATTTAAAGAAGATGAAATACCGTAAGTTGGAAAAACATTTGAAAATCTTCTACATATTCTGACATTAAATTAGAATTGAAAGCCAAGCTAATATGTATCATAATTAATCTCTATGCATAAACTAATATTGGAGCCAAATCCGCGGGTGTTGTATCTTGAAACTTAAAATTTAGCCTTAATAATTTCTTGGGATTTTTTCCAAATTACAAAAAGGAAAAGGCCAACCCCTACTACCAACTTAGGAAGATTATTAAGTAATTGGATGAAGGGGTTTGACGGGGTTAAAAATAAAAATTGCTAAAATATAATTAATTTAGAAAACAAATTTCTATTTTTCAATATGTCAAAGCATTTGATTCGCTTGAATTGAAAGCAAACAAATTATTTGAAAAAATTAAGTTAATTTATGAAGGTATTTAATAATTTTATTTTATCTGGAAATTTATATTAATAAGGGAGGAGGGAGTGGGAGGGGGGGGGGGGGAATAGAAGGAGAGGGGGGGGGGTAAAGTTTAGTCGGCTGTACTTTAGTACGTGGGTCCCGGAGTTAATATACAAATGTTATACCATTCGAAAGAGCTCGTCGAGCTGAGTCGAATGCCACAAGTTTTAGCCCGAGGAAAAATTTTTGGACCGAGATATAGGTCCCTTAAATTTGAAAAAGCATAGGGAGGACCAAGCACTTTTTTGGGGTGAAAAATTCGAAAATGCTTTCGAATGATACCTCATTCGAAAGAGCTCCTCGAGCTGAGTCGAATGACACCAAAATCAACGAAATCCGACTTGATTGGACAAAGTTACGATCTTTTCTTTTAGCTCCTTACCTATGGCATCTGTGGAGATTTTTGCTGCTACAGAGGCCCCAAATACGACCAGATCAAAGGAATTAGGAATAGGTTTATGTTACGAGCCCAGACCCAGCGCCCGTAGACTCCCCGCGAGGCGCGTGCCGCAAAACCCCGCGCGAAGCGCGGGGTTTTGCACAAGCGCCTCGCCGACGCTCCATAGGTTTAGGTTTTTATTTTGTGTCATAACTTTGTCTAATATTGTTAAATCATGGTGATTTTGGTGTCATTCGACTCAGCTCGTCGAGCTCTTTCGAATGAGTTATTATTTGTTTAAAAAATTTTTATTCCAAAAATCGCCCCTTTGGATCTTCGGTTTTTAGGGGCCTATATCTCGGTCCAATCAAGTCGGATTTCGTTGATTTTGGTGTCATTCGACTCAGCTCGAGGAGCTCTTTCGAATAAGGTATCATTTGCATTTTCGAATTTTCCACCCCGAAAAAGTGCTTGCCCCCCCCCTATGGTTTTTCGATTTTCAATCGCCTGTATC